CATATCTCCCAGTATCAGCCTGGCCAAGTTTTAAGATATTTGAGGGCCAGCTTTTCTTTATCCCTTCAAAATCACAAGCATATTTGATGAGGACACAGGAGGGAGCCTTCTCGGCGGTTGTTCCCAGACCAATGCACTCTCTCCCGTTGAAAACTATCTTGACCCTCTCTCTGCTCCCTACCATTAGTAGGGAAAGACTTTACTGTTTACCCAGCAGGTCTTGGAAGAGTCTGGTGCAGAAGTTCTTTAATTTGGAGTATGTTGTATTTATACTTTTATCATTATTACTATGTTTTAACTAATTTTAAGACTGTATGAAGTTAATGTTTTCAACATAATTACTGAATTATTTAGCACTTTTTGTACTGCCCATTGTTCTAAATGCTTTTTTTCTAACCCAAATTGTGAGCTGCCTTGTGTCTCTTTTTGGGAAGATGGCAACATCTTAAACCAACAAACAAAGGCAGACTGGTTTTTAAAGATTGGGGCTGATAGTGATAATTCTAACAGCCAAGATCCTATACTCATTCAGCATAGCACGAAGGTGGTTCCCTTCCAGACATGCATTTTTGCTTTGTATATACACCAGTGCACTCATACTGGATCATATAATTGCACAAACAGGGTCCTACACCCTTGAGCTCACTCACTGCACAACAGTAAATCAACTCTATTTCTGAGCCCCCGATGGTGCAGCAGGTTCAACTGCTGAGTTGTGGAACTTGCTGAATGAAAGATTGGTGGTTTGAATCCGGGGAACAGGGCGAGCTCCTGTTGTTAACCGCAGCTTCTGCCAACCTAGCAATTTGAAAGCATGCAAATGTGAGTAGATCAATAGATACTGCCTTGGCAGGAAGGTAACGGTGCTCCATGCAGTTATGCTGGCCACATGACCTTGGAGGCGTCTAAGGACAACTCCGTCTCTTCGGCTCAGAAATGGAGATGAGCACCCCCCCCCCCCAGAGTTGAACATGACTAGACTTAATGTCAGGGGAAACCTTTACCATTACCTTATTTCAGTCAAGGGTGCATCTACACTATAGGGTAGATAAAGTTCAAAACCACTTTAAACCGCAATAGCTCGGTCCTATGGAAACCTGAGATTTGGAGGTTGTCGAGGCACCAGCACTTTTTGGCAGAGATTTATTTATTTATTTATTTACAGTATTTACAGTATTTATTTATTTATTTATTTACAGTATTTACAGTATCCCTTCTTTCCCTTCCCTTCCTTCTACATACATAGACAAACTGGGATGGGGTGTGATTTTGAGGAGACTAAGGCTGGGGTGGGATGTTTCCTCTGCTCAAACTGGCAGCCTCTCTTCATTACTTTTTATTTATGAACAAAATCAAGAGGCTGTTTATTCATTTGGGTTAGTCCACGGATGGAAGTAACGTGAAGAAGTGAAGTGTAAAGCCCCTTCCTGTCTCTGAATTCAGCCTTGAAATGTTCTGGGAAAAATAGCTGTTCATTTAAGATGTTAATGTTACTGCGTACTGAACTGCTTTTTCTGTTGATTTGTTTTAAAACATTATGTTTTGGTGCTTAATTTGTAAAGTCATAAAGTAATTTGACGTTTAATAGGCTTTTCCTTAATTCCTCTTTATTATCCAATATTTTCGCTTTTCCAACATTTTGCTGGCCCGTTTATGTTGGATAAGTGAGACTCTACTGTATTTACTATATTTATATATTCACCCCAAAGGGGACTCAGAGAGGCCTTACAATCAGCAGCAATTTGATGCTGTGTCAAAAGACAATAAAATAAACATATACATTAAGACAAAAAATTAAAAGCCATATAAACATTAAAACACATTATTAAAATCACACAATCTGAGGACATAGTTAAAAGCCATTCCGGTCGTTATTGCACATAATTTCTCTTCACTTATTGCACTGTACAGTTGGCCAAAGGCTCTTCCATACAGTTATAAGAAACATGTTTTTCTAGAAACGAACATGAAGAATCTGAGGATTTCATGATGTCAATGGAATTGCACCTTGCAAGTTTGCTAGGCCATTCTCCCAGTAGATTAACTACAAAAAACGGGTCCCACCAAAGTGTTCTCTTCCTGTTTCTTGGATTGGTATTTCCCCCTTTTTTCATTTCCATTGAAGTGGTCCCCTTCCAGACTGGCATTTTGGCTTTGGTGTGAAATATCCTGCCAGTGGGACCTTTGTGTCTTTTGGGCCAGCTCCATAGTGCTTCCTTGCTGCAAAGTCTGTTAGGAGAAAAATAACCTCACCCCTATATTCAGTAAGTGTAGACCAATCATTTACTGCATATCTGAAGCCACAACAAAAAGGCTAGGTTTTCTTTTCTTACACATTTATTAAAAATAAATCCCTCACTTGCTTATTTGGATGCAGTCTCTATTGATCACAGGAGAGGAAGCAAGTAGCTACAGTATTTGCAAACTATCTCTAAGCATAGGATAGCACTGCCTCATTTACAATTTACCTTTCATCCAGTATTTGCTCTTAAGGTTATTATAAACCCAATGCCATTGTAAAAACAGGATTAAGAGGTGAAGCTGCTCTGAATAGACAGGAAGCATATTCATGCAAATAGAGCAGAACCAAACCAGTACTACGCAAATTAGGGTTTCCAGGGAAGGAGCAATCCAAACTCTCAGATTTCAAAGTCCAAATATATGTGTATGTGCACTTACTAAGTTTTCAAGGCATTCCTCTTCTCCCAAGGTTCTTCACCTTTGTCCTGAGCACTGAAGAAGATTGAGACCCTATGAACCCGAATGTAAATAACTGTGATAAGAACTTTGCTTTGCAGGCTGCAGCATCTCCGCCTGTCATCCAGCCATCCCATATATATCAATGCACAACATGCAAGATGGATTGGGATATGTTAGTAGTAGCAGCAACAACAATGTTGATTCCTTTATAGTACATAATTTTGAAATGAAGGTTGTCGACACTGTGATTTTCAGGCCTCGATATATATGGGTCAGGGGAAAATATTCTGAGTTTGCTTATATATAATTTATGGGCACTGGCACTGAGAATACAACCAATTCCTCACTCTTACTAAACAATGATCCAGCAAAAAGCAACAGCATCTTTCATTTCAGCCCCAGGAACCAAGCATTTTACCTTCCAGGATAGACTTGGTGTGTGGATAACTACCATCAGAGGTTCTTCCTAGGGCCCTTCCACACAGTCCTGTATCCAAGAATATCAAGGTAGAAAATACCACAATATCTGCTTTGAACTGTTTTTTTTGAGTCCACACTGCCATGTATTCCAGTTCAAAGCAGATAATGTGGGATTTTATTCAGCTGTGTGGGAGGGGCCCTAGTCCCCATGGCATGATGCAATACACAGCTCGATGTTGTACCTTTCAAATAATTCATTTCCTACCATTTCTGGGCAGAGCATCCATTCATTGAAACTCTTTAAAACTCTGAGGTTGTTGACGTGCAAACTATGCAGTGTGGCACCCCGTAGTGGTCAAATGGAATATTACTGGAGGTACAAAAGGTAGTGTTGGTATTTCTTGTCATTAGAATCTAATGCGGTGTCCTTAATGCCTTAGCAAAATAAAAACAGAGATTACATATTTCTATAGTCATTTATATATGTTGGAACAGGAAAGGAGTGCTTGGTACCCACTTGGACACAGATAGTCCGTCTTGCTTCTCTGTGAAATATTTGGAATTACAAAATCCTATGAGTTAACCTCCAAATGGACCAGTGAGGACTGAGAGTGGTTAGGGAAATGAAAGGTGCCAATATTTTATTGTTTTTTAATTTTTTTAATTTATCATATCAGAAATGAACCAAACATACAGTTGTAATGTATTTTAAAAAAACCACAAAGTTTTTTAAAATTACTGTGAGATTGTTAAAGGTCAGGGCTTTTTATTGTTTCCACCCACTTCGCCCTTAATGTAATGTTTTCTAAGATAGTATCAAATGAAGCCAGAGAAGGGCAAAATTACAGTTCTTTGTCCAGAAGCTGGCCGCTTGGAGTGCCTCTGGTGTTGCCATGAGAAGGTCCTCTATTGTGCATGCTGCAGGGCTCAGGCTGCATTGTAGTAGGTAGTCTGTGGTTTGCTCTTCTCCACACATGCACGTCGTGGACTCCACTCTGTGGCCCAATTTCTTAATGTTGGTGCCGAGCGCAGTCTGTTCAGTGCATTCTAAGTCGCCCAGTCTTCTGTGTGCCCAGGAGGGAGTCTCTCATCCGGTATTGGCCACTGATTGAGGCTCCGTGTTATAGCCTGCCACTTTTGGACTCTCGCTTGCTGAGGTGTTCCTGCGAGTATCTCTGTAGATCTTAGAAAACTGTTTCTTGATTTAAGGCATTGGTATGCTGGCTGATATCTGAACAGGGGATTTCACTAGTGAGGAATAAGGAAGAAGAAAAACTAGAGTTGAGAACAGGAGGAATGACACATTTGATCCTGTAAAAGGAGATGTGTGGCTTACCAGAAGACAGGTTGTTCTATTACATTGTCTATAAGGAAGTTACTATACATGAAAAGAAAAACTGAGGCAAGCAGAAATGTACATGTGTTTTTCCCTCCAGCATTCTGGCATTCCCATCTGGGAAAGGAGAATACATTGGTTGTGCCTACAGTAATCTATTAGTAACCTAGCGAATGAGTTGGGAGAGAACCAAACATTGCCTATGTATGGTGGAGAGAGGAAAGTACACTAGGATGCTCCTTTTTCTTTAAGAGCATTGAGGAAGGCTTGTTGATGATTCTAAGCATTCACATCAAACATATGTGTTGGTATGCTGATAAAAAACATGCAACTAAAAACAGTCTGCAATGCAGGATACAGCAACGTTTGTAAAACCTTTTGCACAGGTCAAAACATTGCACATTCTAACAGGTAATGAGGGCATTTGGTTGGGCAGTGCTCTTGATTTCCACACATAACTGCACCTGAGCTTTGGTACTGCAGTTGATTTGTTGATAGTTTCTTCTTCTTTCCGTTAGTATCTTTTCCCTGTGCTTTTCTCCAGGTCTCCTGACTCGTCTGATCAAACCACCGCATGAGTTCAGTCCAGAACTTCAAAAAGAGGTGAATTTTCCAGAAGCGGATCATGGGATTCTGGGGCTATGTTGGGGAAAGGACGGAATAAAGGGACTAGGACAGAAGCATAGGGCAAAGGGATTTTTGGAAGTGGAAGTGCTAGTAGAATAGCCACTACAGGTACCAGTGTGCAGGACTTCTGGGTGGGGGTGATACTGCATTCAGAATCAAGCGTGGATATTTACTTAATATATATTGTACATATTTAGGTTTCAAATTGGTAATTGTAAGGTGAAGAATCTTAAGGCACAATGCACTTGGAGGCAGTTTGGGGGATTGTTAACTAGGCTAAGCCCACATTCAGGGCCACTGTCTGAATCTAGTCTTCCGTAAATCTGTAGACGATTCCCTTTTAGGATGACTTCATTCTAGAGGATTGAGGGGATAGAACAATTTATGCTACAGGCATATTGCTATTACTAATAAAGGTGATCCCACCTTTCTCCCCATAGGGACCCAAGGTGGCTAACAATGACATGACACAATACAATTGAATGGAAAAAGAAGTCAAATACATATACACATGAATATGTAAAAAAGTAAATATTTGTGTTGTGCATGTAAAAGTTAAAATACAATGAAATAGTATTACAAATAATAATAATAATAATAATAATAATAATAATTATTATTATTATTATTATATTCTGCTTTATCTCCCAAGAGGACTGAGAACCGATTAGAACATACACAGATAGGCAGATATTCAATGCCTTTAATACAGTGGAATAACAATGATATACAAATACCACAGAATGAAGGTAAATGCTTCCTTTTTCATCTCCGGCTTTCTGGAGGTGGTGCTCAACTCTGGTCATGGGGAGGTGCTCTTGTTCCATTTCCAAGCCTGTTGTCATGTTTTGCCAGCATGGCTGCATGGGCACCTTTATTACCTTCCCTCCGAAGCGGTACCTATTGATCTACTCACATTTGCATGTCTTCGAACTGCCAGGTTGACAGGAGTTAGGGCTAATAGTGGGAGCTAATCCTGACTCATGGCTTTGAACTTCCAACCTTTAGGTCATCTGATTCAACAGTCCAATGGATTAACCTGTTGCGCCATCACAAGTACATTTAATTGTAAGGATGACATCACTTATAGGAAGTACCGGTCTTCTAATGATGCATGAGTCAACTGGATTTATCATGCACAAACGAAAGCTGTTGAAATCCCCAAACAAGCTGAGCTTCACATGGCACCAATCACACAACATATCCCAATGATTTGATAGCCTGGTCCATACCATGAATGTAGCTATGAAGGTATTTTACCCTGGACTCCCAAATGATAAAGCTTGGTGTCCAACAAACAAGCAATAAATTATTCTAATAGACCCAGATTTTTAAAAAAATCCCGGTCAATGTAATATATCAATTCCAGTATCAGCTGTATTGTCTGAGACTGCAGTTTGTGTTTTTGTATAGGCAGGTATTTTCAGTGTCTGTAGATTGTAACAGCAATTCACTTCTCTGCCTGCTCTTCATTCTCTCCCATTTTATAGTTGCTTCAGTATGAGACTGGCTTCCTGGTTTGTGCTGCTATTGGGATTCTGTTCATCATCCTTGTTCCCCTAGTGGGACTCTTCTTCTGCTGCTGCCGCTGCTGTGGACGTTGTGGGGGGTACATGTACCAGAAGCAAACCAAACATATTGACTGCAGGAGGCGGTCATTATTTGTGTCTGTGCTGGCTGTCACAATAATTATTCTGTGAGTATTATGCAGAATATGGGAGGGAGGCAGCATGGGGTGGCTTGTTACAGCCAAGAACTGTCTCCAAATCTTTCTCCTTGTAGTAGCTCAGGTTTAATTTAAAGCAAGTGCTACCTATTCATGTTCACAGCACACATAAATAACATTTAATTGATGTAGTCCACACACCATAGCAAACAAAGAACAGACTATATTTAAACCTCTACGTAATTAGTAAAGGTAAAGGTTGGACACAACTAGACATTAACTCTAGTTCTGCCCGACCCCAGAGGTTGGTGCTCATCTCTATATGTAAGCCAAAGAGCCGCCGTTGTCTGTAGATGCCTCCAAGGTTATGTGGCTGGCATGACTGCATGGGACACCATTACCTTCCTGCAGAAGTGGTATCTATTGATCTACTCACATTTGCTTGTTTTCGAACTGCTAGGTTGGCAGAAGCTGGGGCTAATAGCGGGAGCTCACCCTGCTCCCCGGATTTGAACTACCAACCTTTCAGTCAGCAAGTTCAGCAGCTCAGCAGTTTAATCCACTGCACCACCAAGGGGCCGTACATAATTATAGCTAGTCTTTATTATGACAGTAAGGAAATACCTGATAGTACACCCTGACAATCTAGAATTTTCCTCACAGTTAACTGAGTCCCCATCTACATTGCCATATAATGAAGTTTAAATTGCATCATATGGTTAATGTATTTTTATTTATTTATTTATAGCATTTTTACCCCGCTCTTCTCAACCCCCCGAGGGGGGGGGGGACTCAGAGCGGCTAACAAAAGGCAACAATTCGATGCCACAATCAATAACACAGTATAAAACCATAAATACATACAGAGTTAAAACAATAGCAATTAATAAACCAAATTATCATAACAGTCATTAAAACAGTCATTAAATAGTCATTAAAACAATATGCAGTCCACAAACACACTAATGTAGACTCATAAAATGCGATTCAATGCAATTTGTATTGCCTTTCTCCCCAAATGAGTCTCAAGGTGATAGATTAGAAAAAACAATATTGTAAAATCACCAAAGGTAATGTTAAAATTATAAAATGCATATATAACAAATTATAACATTAGAATATTATAATCAATTGCACAAGCCTCTTAACCTGGCACCTTGAAGGGAAAGGAAAATCAGTTTTACTACCAAAAGTTGCGTTCCTTCCTGAATCTTGCTTCCTCTGCTTTCCTTCTTCGTCACAGGGCTGGAGACATCTGTGCATACATCACCAACCAGCGTATATCCCAGACTGTAGGCAAAGGCGTGGACAATTTGAACAGTACGGTGGACAACCTGCATCTCTACCTGAATTCTATTCCTCAGGTATTTAGGCTCTGGCACTGCTTACTTTCCCCAAGTAGGATGTCTTTTGCCATGTCCCGCCCTGCATACAGGACCTCTTACACTCTGCCCATCTTTTCAGGTTTTTTCTAACTGATTCTGCTTGTTTCCTGCTCCAGCCTCTATCTACCTTGCTCTGTTCTCCTGTGCAGAGTTTATCCATTCTGCTGTGATTCTCTAATCTATTTGTTTCCATTTCTTATGGACAAGTACTCTTGTATTGTTTGATCCCTACTGGTAAGATGATGCCTTGTCTCATTTTGGAAACTAAGCAAGATCAGGCTGGGTTAATACTTGGATGGAAGGTTCAATACTAACCAGATAGGGCTAGGAAATAGTCCTACCTGAAACCTGGAGAAATGCTGAATTAAAATACTGGGCTAGCTGAATACCTATAGTCTGATTTGGCATAAGGCTTCCTGTATTCCTATGAGAAAGTATTGAACCACTGCCATATGGCAAGTCAAAGCAGGGCTCTATTAAAATATGGACTAGAAACTAATCAAAATAATTCACAATATGGAGAGAGGCCAGTGGCTTTTGTGTCACACAGAGGAAGGGAATGAGTACAAGGTGAATGTTCATAGGAATTTATTTATTTCATGTCAAAAGCATTGCATAAATAAATAAGTAAGTAAAAAACTGATAAAATAAAGGGAGCACAAGCAGCTAAATAATTTTAGACCAAAAATAGGCAATAGCGACCGCATTGTCTGTAGCTTTAAACAGTTCTTCCTTTGTGCATGAGGCAGGGCATTGTGGGCAAGCATACAGATGCGGTGTTGTTTGTTCTGCTCCACAGTCGCACAAGGTGGAGGATTCTTCTAGATAGTGCCATTTAGCTTGATTATCTTTTGATCTGCCCACTCCACTTCTGAGTCTGTTCAGGGACTTCCAAGTTGCCCATTCTTGGTTTACCCCTGGAAGAAGACCCTCATAGGGGGCCATCCAGTTGGAATTGCCTGATTTTTCTGCCCACAGGGATATTTTTACTGTTGCTAGAGGAACATTAAGAGGAGTGGTGGTTCTCATGAAACTTTTCCTTGATTAAAGTCTACTGGGAAGAGGCTGATAGCCATACAATGGATAGCTTTTACGGTGTTCAACCTTACTTCTCTCACAATTGGCAGCAACTTTTCATCACACATCAGCGTAGGCAACGCCAGCTAGCTTATAAAAAGTCTATCGGCATTGGGTTTCTGTGAGTTATCTGGGCTGTATGGCCATGATTCAGAACCATTCTCTCCAGACTTTTCACCCACATCTATGGCAGGCATTCTCAAAGGTTGTTGGAAACCCAGAAAACGCACAGCAACCCAGTGATTCCAGTCATGAAGGCCTTTGACAACACATCTATCAGCATTGCTTTTGATAGGAATACATTAATATTATTCATAGTTCTAAGCTGAGGTGTATTTTCATGTGTCCCTTTCCTGTATTTCTATAAGTTTTTTCTTTATTTCATGTTGATTTGTTTCTAAGTTGTGACATCATCATCATCATTATTAGAAACACAACAAGATTAGTACACAGCAAACAAGATCACTCTGCTGGTTGTTGTATTGGATCACACGTCAGACACTTCCCAAGTGTCTAGGACTATGTGATGTATTGGCGAATAATGCGTGCAGATCCCAGTAGGGTGGCCTTTTGCAGCTGACAGATGGTAATTTTGTCAGCGCCAAATGTGTTTAAGTGCAGGCCAAGGTCTTTAGGCACTGCACCCAGTGTACCGATCACCACTGGGACCGCCTTGACTGACTTCTGCCAGAGTCTTTGCAGTTTGATCTTTAAATCCTTGTATTGTGTCAGCTATTATTATTATTATTATTATTATTATTATTATTAGTAGTAGTAGTAGTAATAGTAGTAGTATATCCTGCTTTTTCTCTCTAAAGAGAGACTAAAATGGCTCACAATAAAATAATACAATACAATTAAAAACTAAAAATATACAAAAATTAAAATGGAATTAAACATGAATAGTTTTTAAAATAAACAGTTAAAACCCTTAAACCAGTGAAAAACCTATTCATAGCTAAAACGACTACACCCCCTGATGTTATCTTAATGAATCCTGTGTACATATTTTTAACAGCAGCAGAAAGTATCATGTGATTGCTATAATTCTAGGAAGAACAAAAATGCTTCATTGTTTATGTAGAAGAAAATCACAACAATGAAGCTGAGCTGGATTATTTTTGCAACAATATTGTTTTTGTAGCCCTTCTCCTTGTATGTGAAGCACTAAGTGCTTTAGACAATACATTGTGACATACTAATCTTCTGAAAGTGGACAGTGAGCTTTTCACTCTTCTCCATGAAATGGGCAAACTCCCCAAACAGACTGCATTCATTAAGATTTTTAAACCTGTTTTTGAGGAACCGTAAGGGATGTGTGTGAATTCAAGGTTTGCCTTCAATAGATAAATGGCATGTCTTTGAATCAATGTCCCATAGTGTTCCAAACGTTTTCTTCACATTTTTATCAGGACAAAATTAAACAGGTTTACAAAATCCTATGGATAATGGGACTGATTTTCTATTATATGTGTGCAGAATTTCAGTTGCTTGAATTAAGTGGTCCAGCCATGTAATTATGAGGTTCCTTTCTCAATAGGATTCATGTAAAAATAACCAGTGTGACAGCGAAAGGTATGGTGTGCATCTATGGTTAAGACCAGTAAATAGATTTTACTATTCAGTGTTCAAATTGTACTGTTGGTAACATTCTATATCACTTACGATTTAATATCCATCACCATAACTACATGCAGATGCTTGGCTCTGTTATCTGTCTCTATGAAGACATGAACAGATTTCATTGTTTTCTTTGTTTTCCACAGGAGGTTGATGAAATTATCGATATTAGCTCAGTGCCATTGAATGAAGCAAATGACAGCTTGCTAAGTGAGTTTGCATTACATTCTTGGGGATAGTATGTGTACATGTATGTGTGTGCATATGTTGCGTATGCATATGTGGTGGAAACTGACTAAATCTTGAGAATTGAGAGAGATAATATATATACCGTCCCCCATGTTGTTTAACATTTACATGAAGCTGCTGGGAGAGATCATCCAGAGTTTTGGGGTCAGATGTCATCTGTACGCAGATGATGTTCAGCTCTATCACTCCTTTCCACCAGTTACTAAGGAGGCTGTGCAGGTCCCGAACCGGTGTTTAGCTGCTGTGTCGTCCTGGATGAGGGCGAACAGATTGAAACTTAATCCAGACAAGACAGAGGTACTCCTGGTCATTCAAAAGGCCAAACAGGGGATAGGGTTACAACCTGTGTTAGACGGGGTTACACTCCTCCTGAAGACACAGGTTTGCAGTTTGGGAGTGATCCTGGACTCATCGCTGAGCCTGGAACTCCAGGTCTTGGCAGTGGCCAGGAGAGCTTTTGCACAATTAAAACTTGTGTGTCAGCTGCGCCTGTAAATGCTGGTTTTAACCTTTAAAGCCCTGAATGGTTCTGGTCCAGATTACCTGCCCAAACTTATCTCCTGCTATGAACCATCACGAATCTTAAGATTGTCAGGAGAGGCCCTGCTCTCGATCCCACCACTCTCACAAACGCGGTTGGTGGGGACAAGAGACAGGGCCTTCTCGGCAGTGGCCCCCTGTCTGTGGAACTCTCTCCCTAAGGACATCAGGTTGGCCATCTTCCTCCTGTCCTTTAGAAGACAACTGAACACCTGGCTCTGGGGCCAGGCATTTGATTAGAGGCCAGCAGCAATAGGAAAAGGAATTTTGGGTTTTGCATCATGGATTCTCACAGCTTGGTTTTTGGTTTTACTGGCACATTAATTTATTGTTAAATTTACTGATGATGTTGTATAATTAAAATGATTTTATTGTTAATTGTAATTTTTATGGTATTTATGTTGCTAGCATCTTCAGATGCTTATCTGAGGCCGCTCTGAGTCCCCCTTGTGGGGAGAAGGGCGGGATAGAAATATATGAAATAATAATAATAATAATAATAATAATAATAATAATAATAATAAGGGATCTCTAGCAGAACAATTACACTAGCAAGGCAGTAACTGAAAATCAATCAGCTCCAGTTCTACAAGACAAAAGTCTTGTAGACAGAGTCTGAAAGACAAAAAATAAAACCTTTTATTTTTAGTAAAACATATAAAGTAGCTTTACTTACAATAGGTTGCAAATACAGATGTCTGGCCTAAAGTAAATGTGAGAGAGAAGAACAAAATTGATTCAGCTCTGAGTTATTTGGGAAGAGAGTAGGTGTAGGACATCTGAAAAAAAGCTGATGAGCAATTAGTGAGTGTAGGCATGCATAGTGCGGTGAAATCAAATGAAGTGAGGTTACTAACAAAGTTGGGTAGAAACATTTAAGAAGAGTGGGGTGAAAACATGGGATTCTACCTGAGATTTGCAGTTGAAATTCCTGTCTTCATGGTATATAACTATGGAGAATCAGGTAGAAATGAAAGAATCAGAGTGTGTTCATTGCCATCAAGGATACTTTGAAATGTAGACACTAGATCTCAACTGGATTTATAGACAGGACAATGTGCTTCATACACCTTTGCCACCTGATTAATCCATGAGACTTTTGCTTAGTTTGGATCCTACTGTTGCAATTTGTATGAACTGAGAGCACTGCATTATTAATTTTGTTGTGGTTAACTGTGACCAAGTTGACTTTGACTTCTGCTGATCCCATGAAGGAAAGACTTCCAAATAGCCTTATCATCACCTCAGTTCTAGCAGGCTCTAGGCCACCCTTATACCTTACATGGATTAAGTAGATTTGGTTTAAGTCTTACACTTAACAAAACTTAGCTCTGAGATTCAGAAAAGTGGAAAAATATTTTGATGGATTACCTTGTTTAGATAGTCTTCTTTCTCTGCAGACATTGGGACCACTCTTGGGAAGAGGATTCAGACTCAGCTTGGAGGACAAGCAAATAAAACACTGGATAAAGCTGACAGTCTTCTCAAAGGTATTTCAAAGAAGAGCAGGTTGTAAAAATGGTAATGAGATTGAAGCATAGAAATTGTGCACATATTTTTGTGGTACAGAATCAGAGAACAGTCATAGGATCAGGAGGAGGAGAACAACAAGAAGAACAACAGCAACGGCAACGGCAGCAACAGCAACAACTTTATTTTTATATCCTGCCACCAACTCCTTGAAGGGACTCGGGACAGCTTACATATGGGACAGAATGTCCACAAAACATAAAAGCAAAAACAATATCTAAAACAACATACATTAAAATAAAAGCATCATAAAATACAACAACCCAAATAAAACACACTAAACAATAAAAAGTATAAAACAGATTGCATCACAGCCCTATCAGATCAGGTTCAACAAAAACCAATGAGCAAGATAACTAAAATTGGCACAACTAAGCTAAAAAAGGGGCTGGGCAAGGGATAGTGCAAAGTGCGTACATAGGGCCAGGGAAGTGGATAGATGTAGAACAGAGTACTGTCTGGCAACCTGGGGGCTGGGCCTACATCACTAGGGACTAGTCATTCTCAAATGCTCACTGGAAATCCAGGTTTTCAGATCCCTGTGAAAAGAAAGCCCAGAGAAAGGTACTCATGAGAGAAACCTACAATTTTTGGGGGGATAGAACCTTGAAGAAGTTTAATGACATTTTTGGCTTCACCTTATGAGTACTTCAAAAAGAATAAATGCTATATTTTACTTCCAGAGCCCAAGTAAAGTGTTGGGTAGTTGCAAGCCACCTGTTTATTCGGAACTCTTTAGCAGTGTTTCATATATTTAAAGGGTAGTTTAGTTTGTAGTTTTTAAGAATACAATAAAGGTTATAGAAAATAAAGAAAAAGAAACAAAAATATTGAAAAATTGACTTCTGATCTTCCTCCTAGTAGTTACACACACACAATTTAGACTTTCCTCCCTAGCACTTAAATGGATACCCTTCTTTACATCAACAATCCTAATAATCATCAAATCTTCTACCTTTGTGCATCTAACAGTGACATAAAGGAGTATTTTTCTCTTTACAATGGCCCATAATTTCTCCACTGTTTCTTGCAGCGATTGCCAATGTGGAACAGGAACTCGAGAAGGTCAACTACACAAGCAGTCGCTTGCAGATACTGCAGAAAGAACTGGACCAGAACCTGACCATTTTGAGGGATGATATCAACAGAACTTTGGACAGTTGTGGCAATCCTTGCCAGAATGTCTCTGTGAAAGACCTGAAGCCTGGGGCAAATCTGACCGGGGTAAGGCAGAGGGCTGTTTTGTAAGACATGGTGGATTCTTAGAGAACATGAGAACAAGGGTCATTTTCTAAAACTGCCCAGATGATTGGGAAGTAACAGAAGTGTGGTTAATAAATAAACACTTAAGAACACAAGGGGTTGCAGCAGTTGGGTGAGACTGCTGAGATATATGCAACCACAATGTGTCCGGCTGTAACTCAATTGAGGAGAAAGTTCTACCCTAATATGACATCATAGAATTGGTTGTCAAATCTGACTCCCAACTCAATGCAGGAAATCCAGCTAGAGCATCATCAGTAGGTAAAAATCCAACCCCTTTTTGAAGATGTCCAGGGAAGGAGGCCCCACCATTCCGTAGATAAGTGGTCCCATCCTAAGTCACTCTTATTACAATGGATTTCCCCCCTATTGTTCAATTGAAAACTACCACCTTGTAACTTAAAACTATTAGGTCTCTATTGAATTTTGTTTTATTAATTTTAGCCCAGTTATTTAGATCAGTGGTTCTCAACCTGTGGGTCCCCAGGTGTTTTGGCCTACAATTCCTAGAAATCCCAGCCAGTTTACCACCTGGTCTAGATGCTTTTGCATTCTATTCCTGTTGTCCAGTGTGTTAGCTGTTCCTCATATGTGTGTATCATCTTCAGATTTGATAAAGATTCTCTCGTCTAACCCATAATCTAAATAATTGATAAAAATATTGAAGATTGATGTCCCTAAGACAGATCCCTGTGGCACTCCACTCAGGACATCTCTTCGGTTTGAAGTTCAACTGGCCAACACACATTTTGGTGCCTCAAATGTTACACTTGATTCTGGGTTTAATTGACCTGTTGATTAAAAAAATGGCACCAGTTCCCCCTTATTAGCTCTAGTTTTTGAGATACAGAACCTATGCCGTATATCTGCTCGCCCATAGAAAACCATGATCGTCATATCTAAGAAACTAGAGCTAATGTGGTCTACCCAATGCAATCTTCTGAATCAGTGCCCTCAAATAATCCTAGGAACAGGCCTAATAACAAAAACATCATTTTTTTTGGTTGGGCTGGGAATTTGTTAATCAAGATATTATGGGACATTTCATCAAATGCTTAGCTGAAATTAAGGCAAATGACATCCCCATCATTCTTACTATCTTCTAAACTACAAGCACACTGAATTCTCTGTGGCTTAATTTGATACAGACAGATGCCCTGTCATTTGTTCCCACAGTCCCTTGATGTTAGCGTCCCACTGGAACTGATAGCCAATCTGACACGCTCAGATCCTGGTGCCACGCTTAAGGAGGTAAGATCCCTCACCTGTTTATTCCTACCCCGCTAGTCTCCAAGTAATCCATGCAAAGCCACCCTTTCTGAGGATCCTCTACAAGTGGCAGTGTGCTAGGATAGTCTGGCTAGGACCAGAGTAGCAGAAAACCACAGACTAAGTGGAGGGGCCTTAATAAAGACCTTAGCCTTTTGGGGTTTTTTTTGGAGGGGGATCTCTTTTAGTTTGAGAAGTGAACTGTGTTTCAGAAATGTTATTATTTTTGATCACTACGGCAGCAAGAATTTGCTATGTGAGAAAATGGAAGCAAAAACAAATACTAGAAGAAGATGAGTGCTTAATGAAGATACTGGAGATAAAAACATGGACAGGCTTACCTTTCTCATGTCAAGGAGTAAAAGAACAAACATGAAAGAAACAAACTGGGAAAAAGTTACTGAATACTTCAAAGAAAGAAACAAGAGGATCTTGAATTAGCAAAAAAAGAATTATACAGATAAAGCAAGAGATTAAGGGGAGAGGGGAAGAAACAAAAAGCAAGAAAAAGAAAGAAAGAAAAGAAATGGACCTCTAGAAGATACCAGGAAGTCAAAAATAACTTCCATGTCTTTCTATCTCTATCTTTTAATTTTAGATATATAACTTATCTTCTCTCTCTTTCTGTATGTATGTGTGTGTGTGTGTGTGTGTGTGTATCTGTTTTTCTTACTGTTGGTAGACTTATCACACTTTTTTAGACACAGACCTATTTACTTTACACTTTTCTTTTTCTTTTTTCTTTTTATTTATTTATTTTCTTTCTTTTAATTGTAAACCAAAAATTTCAATAAAGACTATTTTAAAAAAGAAAAGAAATGTGCTTGCTTGGGGTGAGTGGATAGGTAAGAATGAAAATCAATGAAGGGACTGGTACAATGCTAGTACGATACATTGGAAAGTTTTTATTTTCAATAGCTAATTCTTATGGAGGACATTTTAACCTTTTAGAATGAAAGGTAGAAAAGGCTATATAAAAACTGGAAGCAATGACTTGAGGGTGTCATAGGAAAGGGATATGGCTGTTTGAGAAGTACAGGAGGAAAGACTGGGATTCTAAAAAGGTCAGATTCAGCCATAGTGTTTGAGATTTTGCATCCTTTCTTAATGCATGTGTCCCATCCTGTGGGTAAGACGTGGGTAGACTGTTTGTCTTTTGGAAACAGTGCAGGATTATTCTTAGGGCTTTCTCTTTATTGAGCAGATTGATTGCGTATTATAACATATGTGATTTTGAGACTTCTGCTTTGTTTGTCTGTGCCTTGATCACTGCCTGTTTTTATCTCGGATGTTTATATTGGCAGGCACGAAAAACCCTTGAGAATATTCCAGAAAAAGTCTCTAACGATACAAAACCAGTAGTGTCTGGTAAGAATCACTATTGTATATTCCTCATTTCAGGTAGTGGAGAAAAGACTAGTGACTTGGGACCTTTTCACACTTTGTAGTTATAGTGCTATGATTGCACATTAGCTGCCATGGTAATATCTAATGGAATCCTGGGATTTGCATTTTAGGGAGGAGCATTTAGACACCTCAGCCAGAGAGTTCTAGCATTACAGCAAACTCCAAATCCCAGGATCCTATAGGACACAGCCATGATACTTAAAGTGAAATCATAGCGTTGCATTTGTGCAGTATGAAAAGTTTCCTGCTGCATCACAGTTAGTTGCAGAATTAATTTAATTAGTTCAGATTAATACATGAAAGGTATCCTGGTACCTTAACTGTTCATATAACTGTTTTCAACAGTACTGGAATTGGGTTGTTGTGAGTTTTCCGGACTGTATGGCCATGTTCCAGAAGCACTCTTTCCCGATGTTTTGTCCATAATGCTTCTGGAACATGGCCATACCGCCCGGAAAACTCACACCAACCCAGTGATTTTGGCCATGAAAGCCTTCAAGAACATTACTGTAATTCTTTTCATTAACTATTTGAATGTTTATAAATAGTATGTACAAACTGGGTTTCACACCATCCAGTTTCTCCAATGCACACATCCACGGTTTCTTCATGCATTGTGCAATTTCCTGTCATGAAGCCAGTAGTCAGCTACCTGTTGTGCTTGCATGGAATGAAATAGACATACATTCATCATGTGTACGCTGCTTTTAAGAGACCATCCACATTGCAGAATTAGATCTGGTTTACACCACTTTAACTGCCATGTCTCAATTCTGTGGAATCCTGGGATTTGTAGTTTGTGTGGCACTAGAGTGTTCTCACAGAGAAAGGTAAATATCTCACAAATCAGAGAATTCCATAGCACCGAGCCATGTCAGTTAATGTGGTGCCAAACTGCTATAATTACATGTTGTGGTTGCAGACTAAGTGGAGCAAAATGAATAGTATTGTTTATTCTGAGTGGTAGTGGTTCTGCTATAGACCCTATCCTTAACTTATAGGTAGAGGAAATGCAACTTCAAAGCTACACATAGTCTCTAGAGCTTTGCAATTTATTTTTGTCCTGAAATAATTCCAATGTTGTCCCCTAAGGAATGGGTGCGGATATTGTGACCACTGGTGGTCCACGGGCCACAGGTTGGGAACCACTGCTCTACTGAGTGGGTTTGTGGGGGGGGGGGAGCCACTTCTATCACATTTGCACACTCTTGCTTGAAATATTAGTGGACTGCAACTTTCAATGTTTGTAACTATTGGCTGTGTAGAGCTGCTTGATTTCCATCCCAGCTGGAAATTAACTCTTGTGTGGCAGAACGAGTGCCCTTCAAATGAAAGAAGAACTGACTGACTGACAGCTCTGTTGAGATGTAAGAAGGTGAGATTGGTCTTAGGCTGTTGGACTTTAAGGACCATGAAGAGGTGAAGTGTGCCTTGTGCTATGTACTGGTATATTGAGCTATGTCTTCTCTGACCCTTGCAGATGCACAGAAGACGTTACGTCACGTTAAAGATCAGATTCATCATATGCGTGGTAACTTCTCCATTTTGAACTTTGTGAAGAATATTTCTGGCAAGATAAATGAGTTCCTTCAGGAGGCAAGAACCTATGAGCCTGAGGTTACCAAGTACGATTACTACAGGTAGGAATCAAAATCTGCTTTGAGTATTATAGGCTGCCACATCCCATGGTTTAATCAAGCCATGGTAGACCCATAAAATAACAATTTGAGTTATCTGGGATCTGTCACTTCTGTCTATAAGCTATAATATTTTCAGGATGGCAGGTATGGAGAGCATGTGGGAGCTGAAGAGTATCAGATTTGAAGACCATCGATATTTTCATTGTACACGGATGTCTTGATGAGAAATCATATACACTCTACAAATATTTAATTCTTGTATTCCTTCTAATTTGTTTTATACCCACATGAGACATCTCTCCCCCAGCCTTGGGATTACTTTTTGGTCATGTATGCAGGGCTTGAATAGTGACACATGTTTTGAGAGTGTTTCTTCCTGCCAATGTTTTCATTATGCCTTTTCCACATGGCAGCAGAACATAGCTCTGTTGTTCCTGTTTTAATAGAGATCTGGTCCATTATCTACTTGGGGATTATGTTAATTTTGACCCTTTCTTTTCCTTAGTTGTCGACCTCTATTACATGATTACACCTGACTGGTCTAATTTCTCTCATTTCAGGTGGATTGTTGGTGTTATCCTCTGTTGCTTGGTGCTTCTGATAATTGTACTCAATGTCTTGGGTTTATTGTTTGGGGCTCTTGGACTCGACCCACGGGAGATGCCTATTCAACGGAGCTGCCCCTCCAACTCTGGCGGACTTTTTCTTATGGCGTAAGAGCCCCTTTTCTCCATCTCAAAAGTTATAGCATTTACCAATCCCCCTCTCTCCTGCGGCCCTTCCACACAACCCTATATCCCAGAATATCAAGGCAGAAAATCCCATATTATCTGAGTGTGGACTCAGATAGCCGAGTTCAAATCCGATACTGTAGGATTTTCTGTCTTAATGTTCTGGGATATAGGGCTGTGTGGAAGGGCCCCTGGTCCTCTTTCTGATGATGGACAAACAAACAAGAGTTTGTGTCTTTATGAATTTATTTATTTATTTTATTTTAAATGTTTTTATATTGCCTCCCAAGGTGATGAACAAACAAAAACCAGTTAGCACAATACAAATATATAAATATTTTTAAAGCACATTAAGAAATGTTTCAAATTTTCTAAATGATCCTTAAAACAATCCTTGAATCCAAGTTTGTAGCAGTACAAATAGCAGTTTCGAACACTGAATTCTATGTGGGACAGCACTGTTATGATTAGAGGTTTAAAAAAATGGGGCCAGACTAATGCCCCTTCTACGTGGACATATAAAATCCAAATTATCTGCTTTGAACTGGATTATATGGCAGTGTAAACTCAGATGATCCAGTTCAAAGCAGATAACCTGGATTATCTGCTTTGATATCTGAATTACATGGCATTGTGCAAGGGGCCTTAGAAGGAATGGTTCTCCAATGTAAGTATATGATCGGTTTTCTCTAGTGATGCTAGAGGACTTAGGTATTTATAGAAAGAATTTCCAAACATTGAGTCATGCTGGAAGACTGAGGCCCCTTCTATACTGCCATATAATCCAGATTATCAGTGAAGATAATCCACATTATCTGCTTTGAACTGGATTGTATGAGTTTAGACTGCCATGTAATCCAGATCAAAACAGATAATCTGGATTTTATATAGCAGTATAGAATGGGCCTAACTTCTTTGAGTATGGCCCTTTCTACATTGCCATAAAATTTATATGATCAAAGCCGATAATCCACACTATCTGCTTTGAACTGGATTAGATGAGTCTACAATGCCATATAATCCATTCAAAGCAGATAATCTGGATTTTATATGGCAGCATAGAAGAGGCCAAGGCAGTATTTTAGATATCTTGGCCTAATGTTGTTTCAGGCTTTGTAAGTCAATACCAATTATCCTGACATCAGCTTGGAAGCAAATTGGAAACAGTGCAGTTCTTGCAGGACTGTTGTTATATGGTCTCTAAAATGCATCCTTGATGTCAGTCTGGCTGCTGCATTTTGTACTAGCTGTGGCTTGTGAACACTTTTCAAAGCCAGTCCTATATAGTGTATGTAACAGTAATCTCCTCTAGAGGTAACTAATGTACGAAGCACTGTGATGAGAATTGCCTTCCCCAACAGAAAGTAGACAAAGGTGACTACAGCAACCTGGTATTCTGGGAGCAGTGCTACATCCAAAAGCATCTGCCAAGCTATAGATTTGATTTTTTCAGAAATAGAACAACACCATCCAGAACAGGCCATGATCCCAATGTGTATATGTCCTGCCAAGTCACCTGTTGCCGTATGGAAATCCCAATAATTGTATAGGATTTTTTTAGGCAAGGAAAATGGAGAGGTGGTTTTGCCAGACCCTCTGAAATATAGTCTACAGCACCTAGTATTTGCTGGTGATCTCTTATTCAATTACTAATGAAGGCTGTTCCTATTAGCTTCCAAGATCAGTGGCTTTAGGACAGGCATCCTGAAACTCCAGATGTTTGGGCTTCCAACTCCCATAATTCCGGTCCATTGAACAAGCTGGCTAGGGCTTCTAGAAGTTGGAGGCCCAGACAGCTGGAGAGCCGCAATTTAAGGATGCCTCTTTAACAAGCATTTGCTAAACTAAAATCATAACAGTAAATAAAGAACAACACTCAAAAATAGGGGAATTCCAGGCAAGAAACAATCAGGGCCAGCTAATACCTCCCAACAAAGGATTCCCCAGACAGTAAGCAGCCAGACCTTGAAACTGCTAGGTCATTAAATGCTAACCAAGGTGGCCAACTGAAATATTCACACCTACTTCAAACAGACAAGAGTCCTTTCTCCCACCCCGGACATTCCACAGATATATAAACCCCATTTTCCTAGTTTACACAGACCTCACAACGTGTGAGGATGTGGGCGAAACGTCAGTAGAGCATGCTTCTGGAACATGGCCATACAGCCCGAAAAACTCACAACAACCTATTTGCCAAACTGCCTTTTGGCTCTCTCCTCACACACCCTTTCCTTCAAAGAGAAGCCACATTCTTCCTTCATCTCGTGTTCCCTTTTGTAAGAAAGCCAAGGAAACCACTTCCTCCAAAACTGCAGTTAGTTTCTCCCCCTTCCCTCAACCAAGCAGGCAAATGAAAACCATGCCAGACATCTTTTTTCCTACACCTCAAACCTCTATTCCAAAACTACAAATGGCTTTGGTCTCCCATCTTACCCTCCTTGTTTTTTGTTCTCATTCTCCTTGCTCTCCCATTTCACTGAGGCCCCTTCCACACAGCTGAATAAAATCCCACATCTTCCTCGTTGAAGTGGAATATATGGCAATGTGGACTCAGATATTGTGGGATTTTCTACCTTGATATTCTGGGTTATAGGGCTGTGTGGAAGGGCCCTAAGAATTCTGAATGTGTCTCATTTTGCTTCACAGGAGTGCTGGGTTCAGCTTCATATTTGCATGGTTGCTGATGCTGCTAGTTCTGCTGACATTTTTAATAGGAGGAAATACATATGAATTTGTGTGCCGGCCCTGGGCCAGTGGTCGTCTGCTTGAGGTAAGGTGCTGGGTGTATTGTTGGAGCTATACCCTATCATAGGTTGGAATGAGGAAACAGAGATGATAGCACAGATCAAGGGAGGTTATCTCTCTTTAATTCCACTAGCATGTTATCATTTGTTTTTATTATTTCTTTGTTATTTTCATTTCATTACTATGTCATTATTAAGTATTTTATTTGATGTTGTTGTCTCTTTTATATGTACTTTTGCTTTATTGTAACTGTTTGGGCTTGGCCTTATGTTAGCCTCCCCGAGTCCCTCCAAGGAGATGGTGGCAGAGTATAAATAAAGTATTATTATTATTATTATTATTATTATTATTATTATTATTGACACAAAAACACAGTATGTCACAGCAAACGAGATCTATATGCTGGATTTTGTATCACAAAATCACAAGTCGAACACTTCCCAAGCATCTAGGACTGTGTGATGTATTTTCGGATGATGAGCGCAGATCCAAGTAAGGTGGCCTTTTGCAGTTGACAGATTGTGATTTTGTCAATGTTTATTGTTTCCAAATGCTGGCTGAGATATTTTGGCAGGGCACCCAGTGTGCCAATGACCACTGGGACCACCTGTACTGGTTTATGCCAGAGCCTTTGCAGTTCGATTTTGAGGTCCGATAATGGCTGAGCTTTTCCTGTTGGTTTTCCTCAGTGTGACTGTCACCTGGTATGGCGACATCAATAATCCAAACTTTTTTCTTTTCCACAATCGTGATGTCTGGTGTATTGTGTTCCAAAACTTTGTCAGTCTGGATTCGAAAGTCCCACAGTATTTTTGCATGTTCATTTTCCATGACCTTTGCGGGTTTATGATCCCACCAATTCTTTACTGCTGACAGGTGGTACTTGTGACATAAGTTCCAGTGAATCATCTGGGCCACAGAGTTGTGTTGTTATCATCATCATCATCATCATCATCATCATCATCTTTGTCTTACAGTCCAGCCTAGAGCCCACACTGCAACTTCTTTTTCCACCTATTGTCAATTGCATCACTTTGGTGCTAAAATGGGCAACTGGATATTCCCCTTGCATGTTCCTCTAGAGTTGGAGGAATACTAAAGACTTTATTATTGTCCTTTTCCATACAGCTGAATAAAATCCCTCATTTTCTGCTTTGAACTGGAATATATGGCACTGTGGACTTAAATAACCCAGGTCAAAGCAGATATTGTAGAATTTTCTGTCTTGATATTCTGGGATATAGGGCTGTGTGGAAGGGTTCTTTGACTGTGATAGTGCTGAATACTGTAACTATTCCACTCTCTATAGCTGCTATAGATGCATTGATGTATGACTGTAGAGGTAAAATGGCTGCAGGTGGTGCAGTATCAATGATGTGTGAAGGCAAGATAACACTTTGTCCTTTTCCACACAGCTGAATGAAAACCCCCATTTTCTGCTTTGAACTGCAATATATGGCAGTGTGGACTCAGATAATCCAGTTCAAAGAAGTTATTGTGGGATGTTCTGCCTTGATATTCTGAGATATAGGACTGTGTAGAATGGACCTGAGTTTTGGTAATGGCTTTATGTGCTACCTGCCAGCTGCAGTTTTGCACCTTTCCAGAAAACACTTATGCTGGCATAGCAAACTATTATAAGTTACTATTAGATTCTCTGTGTAGATAAAGAAGGAATCTCACCAACAGCTATTTATTTTTTTCAGTTCCTTGAAACACCAGGCTTGTTCCCTGACTTCAATGTGTCAAATCTCATGGACAATTCGGATGTGACCCTCTCCAGCCTATACAAGTGAGTGCCATGTTGGCTGGCTGGTTTCCTCCTTGATACTTGCTGTTACTTTGGCCCTGTACTTCCCTCAAGAGTAAGAGACACATGAGCTAAAAGCTTGGGAGCTTAATCTCAAATAAACTGAGAAAGATATACATTGTGTATAGAAACAAGCAGAAATAACAGGAGGAGGGAGCAAACTTGTTTTCTGCTGCCCTGGAGACTAGGAACAATGGCTTCAAACTACAAGAAAGGAGATTCCATCTGAATATGAGGAAGAACTTCCTGACTGTGAGAGCTGTTAAGCAGTGGAACTCTCTGCCTCGGAGTGTGGTGGAGGCTCCTTCTTTGGAAGCTTTTAAAAAGAGGCTAGATGGCCATCTGTTGGGGTGCTTTGAATTCAATTTTCCTGCTTCTTGGCAAGGGGTTGGACTGGATGGCCCATGAGGTCTCTTCCAACTCTATGATTCTATTATTCTCTCTCTCTCTGTGTGTGTGTGTGTGTCAGTAGCGACTTGAGAAACTGCAAGTTGCTTCTGGTGTGAGAGAATTGGCTGTCTGCAAGGACGTTACCCAGGGGATGCCCAGTTGTTTTACCATCTTGTGGGAGGCTTCTCTCATGACCCCATATGGGAAGCTGGATCTGACAGATGGGAGCTCACCCTGCTCCCCACTCATCCTCTGCTGACCAATATGCAGTGTAAAGTACTTTAGCCAGTCATTCCAAAGACTCAATGAAAGCAAATATCTGTGACTCACAGTATCTCCACTTCTTCAGGACCTTAATTGCAAGTATGTTAATGATTTCTGTTATCATTTCATCAAACTGTTGAGCGGACTATATCAACAGCATGTGACGAAACTTATATCTATTAATCTCAAGGGAAAGCAAGGCTCATACCAGATATCATCTTTAGATGTTGATGCTGTTTCTTAACCAATGTTTCTTACCTAACTTTTTCTTGTTACAGGAGCTGCCAAAACAATGACCCTTTGTGGAGCACTCTTCACCTGAATAAAACAATATCTCTGGATGAGATGTTCAACATTAGCAAGGTCAGTGTTTAGGTTACCACAAGAGAGCCTGAATAACTAGCTGGTGTCCTCAAATGAGAGGGTATGTCCTATATGAGATACAGGTATATCGGGACAGATAAGAGTTCTGGGCTCCTCCTATGTATTGCTTGAATCCTCATATAGGAGATACCTTCACATCTCCTAGAGCAGTGGTTCTCAACCTGTGGGTCCCCAGGTCTTTCGGCCTACAACTCCCAGAAATCCCAGCCAGTTTACCAGCTGTTAAGATTTCTGGGAGTTGAAAGCCAAAACATATGGGGACCCATAGGTTGAGAACCTAGAAAAACCTGCATTGGAAGTCTTTGAACCTGCTCACCTTATGTTCTTTTCTTCCTGCTACTCTGGTAGTACACAGATGAAATTGATTCTACTTTGAACAAAATAAATGTCAGTGTGGACTCTACTAACTTCTTGAATGATGAGCAGAAGCGTCTCATGCAGGATTTGAGCAAAAAGGATGGGCCACTGAAGATGAACTTTTCCGATGCTTTGGAACAAGTGAGATGGAATTAAGGAATATTGTTGTTAAAGGGCGATTGTTTTTATAAATCAAGAACTTCACTGAGTCTGGATGTTGCTAGGGTATTTGTAAAATATGCCCTGTCTAAAACAGAATTGTGGCATAAACGTCTGAAAAAATGGGTATACCTTCCAAAATGGCTTGGATTATGACTTACCTCATAGTAATATAATGGTCACTATCTCATGTGCCTTTTTTTTTCATGTCAGGAGTGACTTGAGAAACTGCAAGTCACTTCTGGTGTGAGTGATTTGGCCATCTGCAAGGACGTTGCCCAGGGGATGCCTGGATGTGTTACCATCCTGTGGGAAAATTTCTCTCATGGGAAGCTGAAACTGAGAGACGGGAGCTCACACTCCTCCCCAGATTCGAAATGCTGACTTTTCGGTCAGCAGTCCTGCCAGCACAAGAATTTAACCCATTGTGCAACTGGGAGCTCCCCTATAACATTAGTACAGAGTTCATTCACACAGAAAATTGTATCTCATTCATGCATGACATGAATTGGTGTTCCCCAGTAACTGCATTCAGGAATCTGCCATCTAGGTGAGATTAGCTAACAGTGGAAGGCTTGCTAGGTTAACCTTGTTTTGGGAGTATATTGGTGGTTGGTTACCTGGTCCTTTAGGGAGAAAAATGTTTACTTTATATTAATTTGTATTTATAAAGTCTACAAAAACTCTTGCCTGGTCCCCACAGTTGCAACAAAAATAAAAACACAGTTGCACAACAATGCCTGAGGGGAGTACCTGAGTTGTACAACTTTTGATTTGTTGATATGTGTGTGTGTGTGTGTGTGTGTGTGTTTTATATGTACTGATAGTTTATGTTACAGAAACATGTATGTCATCTTACTGATATAGTTGTCATTCAGAGCAGTTCAACAATCTTATTGAGTCACCTGCGGGCTGAGAAAGGTGGTATACAAATACAATAAACAAACAAACAAACCATCAATTTGATAAATACATGGCATTCTGTGTAAGTAACTGCAGTGAAAATTTCAATTAGGCAGCCAGTCATAGGCAGAACAGTACAATAAATCTATATATCTAGTAAAACCTCACGTAAATTTGCTTAACGATTAATGAGTAAAAACAAGTAGGACATGTCAATGTCTTTTGAGAAGGAGTTCCAAAGTCAGAATGTATTCAGTAGCCAAGGGCCCTTTTTATTATTATTTGTCTAAGCTTTGCCTGTGAGAGCATCAAAAGACGGGTTTCTGCTTCCTATCACATCACTTAATAGAAGGGAGGACTAAACTGGAAGGAGGAAGAATATTGTGCATATGGTTTTGTGCAGAAATAAATGAACTAAATTTGGAAAAACATTGTTGGGAAGATTACAAATAAATTGTACTTCTGCTTCAAACATGACCCATTTTCATGTCTTTTGTGTTATCCAAGGAGTTGATCCTTGTGTTTTTTCTCCTGTGCAGCTCAACCAAAGCATGATAAGTCAAGACCTGTCTGCATTGGCTACTAAATTAGACAATCTGGCCACGCAGTTGGTGAGTAGTCCCAGGATTCATTCTCCTTCAGTTCTCCTTTCCTGCAGCTCCACTTCTAGGAGAGACTGTTAGAAGAAGACAAATCTTACAACGGGTGTAAGATCTGAAGGATTTGGAATTTTGCATGCACCTCTTATGGCTGTTAATGATGAGAAAGAATTTCATTCTGACTTGCTTCCTGGAAATTCACTCAACAAACAGGAAGGTATTGCTCTTTAGTAAGATGGTCAATTTTTGGACTGAAAATAACTCCCGTGGAAGAGTGGAATTGTGTTGGATATGTGTTTGTATGATGAGAGATTGAATAGAAAATGTGCCAAGAGGAAGGCGCATCAAGCAAACCTATGTTGTCACTGTTTTCCATTTGGAAATGTATATCCTCACTGTGAAAGGCCTTGCAGATCCAGAATAGGTATCTACAGTCACTTATGGACCCACCACCAAGACTCTACCCTTGGAAGACAATCATACCCAGCTACGAATGATTGCCTATAGCACAGAAGTCCACTGAATGTAGGGTTCTGTATGTGTTTGTGTGACTAAGTGTGAGCAAAAGACAAGTCAGCAATATATTTTGACAGTAGTTGCTTTATCCAATCTTCTCCAGGGAAGTAGACGTCCAAACATCAGTACACAGCTGCAAAATCATGCTGCTGAGGTGAGAAAGATCCAGACTTCAGTGAATGACAATTTTATTCCTGAGATCGTGAGTACTGCTTTTTTCTGTCATCTTCATTTCAGTTGCACAGTCCTGATGATGTCTTGAATGATGGATTCTGGGTGGGTTCGAGTCTTGTCCCTGCATATGTGTGGAACTTGTGTAGTGCAGCCTATGATAGAATGGTTATATCTGAGAAGGAATTGTGGTAGTGCAAGGGAGAGGTTCAAAGAGACTGAGAAGAAAAAAGGAGACTGTGTAGAAAGGTTTAGTGAAGTTCTAAGTGTCCTTGGGAGACCTGAATCCAGGAAAACCAGAAAGTGGGGCACCACCATAACCATTCAACCCCTTGCCTTTTGCCAGTCAGCAACTGTTTAACAAGAGACTCGGTAACTATGGCCTAAAGTGATCTCTGATCTTTTATTTGCAGTTAGACAGGTTTTAAGAAATAACTCAACATTTGAAGATCATATAATTCCTAGATTCCATTTCCTCCATTTGATTCAGAAGATGTTTACTTCTTGAGAGGAGAGCAATGACCAATCTCTATAAAATAGTTAAGAGTACAGACATCACACTGGCAATGAAGGTCCACACAGTTAAAGCAATAGTATTCCCCGTAATAACTTAAGGATGTGAGAGCTGGACCATAAGGAAGGCTTAGCGAAGGAAAATAGGTGGTTTTGAACTGTGATATTGGAGGAAAACTCTGAGAGTGCCTTGGACCACAAGAAGATCAAACCAGTCCATACTCCAGGAAATAATGCCCAACTGCTCACTGGAGGGAAGGATAGTAGAGGCAAGGATGAAGTTATTTGGCTACATAATGAGAAGACAGGAAAGCTTTGAGAAGATAATGATGCTGGGGGAAAAGGAAGGGGGGGGGGGGCAACTAAGGGCAAGATCGATGGATGTTATTCTTGAAGTGACTGCCTTGACCTTGAAGGATCTGAGGGTGGTGATGCCTGACGGAGCTCTGGCATGAGCTGGTCCATGAGGTCACGAAGAGTTGGAAGTGACTGAACAAATAAACAACAACAAAATATTTATTTTCAGAAATTTTGTTTTACTTGCTTCCTCATTTCTCCCACATTCCTACATTCTAGTTCTTGATTATATATCCCAATACGTTGCTCAGTTTTCCCCTAGGTAAAGGTAAAGGTTTTCCCCTGACATTAAATCCATTCATGTCCGACTCTTGGGGTTGGTGCTCATCTCCATTTCTAAGCCAAAGAGCTGGCGTTCTCCATAGACACCTCCAAGGTCATGTGGCTAGCATGACTGCATGGAGCGCCATTACCTTCCCACCACTGTGGTACCTATTGATCTACTCACATTTGCATGTTTATGAACTTCTATGTTGGCAGAAGCTAGGGTTAACAGCGGGAGCTCATGCTGCTCCCTGGATTCGAACCTGCGACCTTTCGGTTAGAAAGTTCGGCAGCTCAACGCTTTAACCCAGTTTCCCCCTACTTCCTCCATTACAGGGAACAAAATCATGCTGGGTTTGAGGCTCTGCTGCCTTCTCCCAGTCCAATATTTCATGAATCCAGGTACCAAGATTTCCACCATATCACAGAACACCTGATAGACAAAATGGGGTTAGATGTGTATTACAGATGGTATCCCTCTGCCCCACCTTTCCTCAACTGATCTCCTTGACTTCTTTGAGAAGGACTTACTTAACTATTTTTCTTTGCCCACAGAAAATCTTGAATAGCAGTATCCGCAGCTTGGAGAAGTCTGTGTCTCAGATTCCGGTAAGCAGTCAGGGCTGGATGGGGGAGAAACCTGTGAACCAAACAGCTTCCTGAAAGGAAACCCTACTAGATATTAGAGGGGTGGAGAAATACCAAACAGTGGACAAAGTATCCAGGTTTTAGGACCAAGTCATGTTAATCATGGCCAGTTGGCAGAGATTTCTCATGGGCCCAAGATGGGTGAAGTACCATAGTTCTTAAATAGACCTAGGGAGATTGACAGAGTTATATTCATATGTATGAAAAAAGGTTAGAAAAGCAAATCGGCCACTATTGTGTGGCCACCAAAAGAGTAAATGAGGGGAGTTTCTCGCAAGTTCACATGGAGGTAAGTTTGCCCAGAAGATAAGTGTATGGCACTAACAGGGCAAATGTGGAGTCTATACAGATCTTGGAAATTATAAATTATAAATATAAATACCCCCCCCCCCCCAAGGTATAGACAGGTTCTTAATCAGAACCTCACAGCTGTGCGATGAGGTATTAAAATCTAACGTTATGGCACAAATATGCATGCATGTTTATTACAATATTTTATATACAATATTTATTTATATTATTTCATATATTTATATTTACATATGTATACATTCTAGCCTTTGAAGCTCCCTCATGTTTAGTGTTCCAGTAGCGTACTGAGTGAGCTTTATCTTAATGTATCAGTGCGGTTCCAGTATTCTTATATGTGGTGTAAAAAATATAAAGGGTTCTTCAGAGGGAGCTCGCTAGTTTTGCTTTGAAATTGATGGTTGTGGAGGACAGACTCTGATATTGGTTGTGCCAGTTGAAATTCACAATACTGCATCTTGCCAGGGCTTGGTGAATTCTACATTGTCAGAAGTAGAAGCAGCTCAAGAATTTATGAAGCAGAAGACAGGAAAAATCATCAAGAATGTAAGTCCTGATCATTAACCCTGTTACTGTTATGGAGTTGGATGTACACTGTGGCCATCCTGAGTGTGGATTTATCCCGTTCTGCATAATGGCATGTTAAGACTCATTTTCAACACCCTGCATGGTTCCTGAGCTGACATTGTGGGCATACAGCAAGGTCTTTGATAATAATGGTTACTAATTAGGTTAGCTATACATCACCTCCCATATCAGAGGCAGTAGGCCACTATATATCAGATGTTAGGGTAGATGGAGGGTACAGTTAAGAATCTCACAGGCAACTGTTTGGCCACTGTGTGAACAGAATTTAGGATTTTGGTCTGATCCAGTGTAGTTCTTATGATGTTGTTGGTGGTATATCAAAAGCACTGTGAAGATGGGTCATATGGCCAATCATAAATGGAACAATTTTGCTTTTCCCTTCAAATCTGCTGGTTTTACTATAGCCTCATATCCATTCCCTTTCCTGAAAGCATACATGAAGTTTATGTCGGGAATGCAATTCTATCACTGAAGGCTCTTGGGGATTTGGAAAGGGTTGTTTGATTCTTTAACCTCCTCTCCTTCTCTGTTTACATTTAGGCAACCTTGAATTTTGTGAATTCTGTACTGGGTTTCTTTCAGTCATACATGGACTGGGCCAAGAGCAATGTAAGTCTTGCAAATTGCAGTTTCTAAACAGCGGGCTTATTCCTCAGTGAATACAAATGGGATACTGGCTGTCCTCATTCACATACTGATCCAATCATATTTCAGTACAAAGAGAAACCAAGCTTCATGCTCACCTCCTGTGCTAAAAGCTACCTAACCATATTATCTTTATAGGTATTACTAATCTAATTTAACAGAGCCTCTCACATCATGATAGATATTGCTTTAACTTTGTGAACCCCAAACTTACTGAAAACCTTTCCACAATGGGAAAAGAGGCTCAGTTCAGTACATGTTCAATACAAGTGACCAATTCATCCAAAGCCAGCAATAATGCAGCTATAAGTGCAGCCCATAGCAACAAGTTGGCATGTCTGTCTAGATATAGAATTTGTTATTGGTACTAGCATTAATAAACCGATGGTTGACTGAGCTAAGTATATATGGGCAAAGATAAAAACAAAAGTTCTCCTTTGATAGCCATGACGTTTCTCTTTCTTCTTTGCTGGCAGATAGAAGATGAAGTAGGTCGCTGTGGCCCCGCAGCCTGGGCAATCAATAGTATAGATACTATTTTCTGTGGCTACATTGTTGATTCGTTGGTAAGTATGTGAACAGGAGGACTGATCAGAGTGCCCCATTCTTTGCATTTGAGATCTGGGGTAGATAGGTGTCTTATATCAGCACAGAGAAGGGATAACATAGTGGCAATGAAAAGGATATAGGGATGGCTGCTAGATCTCAGAGTGTGAGAGAAAACAATAGGAGGAAAATCCATGGAAACTGTAGCTGTCTTGCTATAGCTTTTTGGAGGGGAAGCTGGAGAGCCATATCCCTTAAATGGGCCCAGGGTAGGGAGTCTTGGGTGTTTTGGAAGGGAATCTGTAGAGCAAAAATTGAAGCATGTAGTGGAAAGGGTTAGGGTAACACCTGAGAGTAGGTAACACCTGATTTCCCCCCATAATAATGCTTCTTTCCGGGGCATGTCTAACTACAACCAATGAGGCTGGAGGTATCACTGAAGCTATTGAAAGGCAACAAATTTCTCTTTTCTGTTTCCAGAATGCCTTCTGGTTCAGTCTTGGTTGGTGCACTGTATTTCTCCTGCCAAGCATCATCTTGGCTGTGAAGCTTGCCAAGTTTTACCGCAGGATGAGCATGGATGACATCTATGTGTAAGGATGGCTTGTAACTCCTACCAGTTATTTTATATATTACCATGGTTGAAATGCATTTCCTCTTTTCATTCTGTAGTTTATATACCTCTATATGAACATAGGAATAAGCTCCTTTTGATGGTTCCATTTCCACTTGCGGGACTCCACTTGCGGGACTGTTCCCATAGCATATCAGAAAAATCAAAATGTTTGTTTGAAAAAATGATAATAATAAGTTGGGTACTATGGAATCTCTTGTGGGTAGTCTCTGAAATTCTTACAGCTAATGTAGGGATGTAGTTTTCACTCTTACCAGATGTTAGTTATCGTGCTCCAGTGCAACGAAATCCACTCTGCTTTCATTTCAGTTCCTGTAATTTTGATTCCTACTGAGAAGTCAAAGCAAGCCAGGACATTAGGTGTGCAATACTGCCCTGCCAATCTCAAGAAACGTGTAATTTTCTGACAACAGAGGATTTTTGATGTTAAAATAGCATTGTGATGGCCTAGCTTAGTCTAACCTAAAAACTAATCTTCCTTTCAACCACTTTGCTTTTGTGATGACAGTAATGTACTCACCATATAATGGGCTGGAGCCCCTGGTGGTACAATAAGTTAAACCCTTGTGCTGGCAGGGTGAGCTCTCATCTGTCAGCTCCAGCTTCTCATGCGAGGACATGAGAGAAGCTTCCCACAGGATGGTAAAACATCCGGGCGTCCCCTGGGTAACGTCCTTGCAGACAACCAATTCTGTCACACCAGAAGCGATTTGCAGTTTCTCAAGTCACTCCTGATACGAAAAAAAAACCCCTCTATATAATGGAAAGACAGGGATAGGATGGTTCTCCACATATTTTTGAACTACAGCATTTACTAGTATAACCAAAGCTGAGGTGGAAGTTGCACTCCAACATCTGATGGGCCACATGTTCCCTACCCCTGATATAAAAAGACTGTATTAACTAATATTCAGGTGTTAGGGTCACTCATCTGCAACAAAGCAAGTGCAAAAACAATGAAGGATTACAATGTACTTTTGAAAGATTAAATTGTTTTGTTTTGCTATGATAAATAATTCGACTGTGAAAATATAATCTTTTTAGTTTCTTTGTCCTTCTTTGTGAAACCTTTCTCATACCTTCTCTTTCTTCATCTAGGGATGAAGCTATGGAACTGTAAGTATTTTTCCACGTCATCTGTCCAACATTGCTATGTAGCACTGAAGTTCAAGCAGAACTTAGACTATGCAAATGGCTATATCACTGGGCATAAATTAAACAAGAGCCATTGCTGCGGACTGGACCTGAAGAAGCATCAAAGCCATTTCAGGACTGGAGAGTCCCAATCTTGGTAGCTGTATCTTGAATACAGTCAAGGCTCGGTCCATGTTATTCTTTGTGCTAAGCTGAACTGACTGTTGCTTGCAGGCTGTCACTGTAGAGAGCAGGGCCAGGGATGGTGTTAGGAGTGTGGCTATGTGGTTAGCAGTGTACACTGAACCATGAAATCCTGTGTTGGCATGAACGGAAAGGGAAGATCTCAGCTGCAGGAAATAGAGGAGGGCTGGGAAGGAATTCCCTGGTATTTCCAGTGACATTTTTGCTAACTATCATTCGTTTTTTCCCCCTATCTCTCAACATCCCTGCAACAGTAACATTACCACTTAACCATTCAGGAAATTGTTTCTGATTTCTCCCCTGCCTCCCCTTTCTCCTGCTCTGCAGATCAAGGCAAAGGATGTTCAAAATGCCTCGGGCAGAACTAAAGAAGTAGCACCTCCTTTTCTACTTATCCATGCCGAAAAGCACTGAGTATGACTGTACGAATGTCTACAGGATCCCCAGACTTCCCTCGCATTTATCTCCCAAGAGCAGCAAATTCTCCCTGGCTCAGATTGAAATGGTGGCAGGAGCCTCCTTTCTTTCCAAGAGACAGACAGGGAGAACTGCATTGACTTTCAAGTCCTGTCACAGAAAGGTGTGGACTTATTTCCAGTTGTACTAAAACATGCCTCTTGTCTTAATGTAGAGACAAACTTTGCAGTCTCTGCATTATGTCCTTTCTGAGAAACCATAATCTTTTGTGACTGTGGCTTGTTGTGGGGTTCCTTTGCACACTGTAGCCTTTACCTGTTCCTAGACTCAGGATAATTATGTACTTCTACAGTCCCAGGTTGGCTGGCTGATTCTGGTTGCATACTGACCATGAGTGTTGGTTACAGCACGTTTTGGTACAATCACTGTATTGAGGAGAATTTATATTATTTTCTTTCTTTTTCCCTTTTACACATAAAGGAGTGTTGGGTTGAGAAGTGCCTAAGGAATCATAATGAATATAGGATTTAATTCAGTAGTGTCAGACAGAATGACACTGTCAGTTATGGGCATTACAGGATTTGTCATACCAGGCAACCTATCAGTTGTCCCTCAAAAGCAGGAAATACATACTTCAGTCTTAAGTGGCCTTAGACTCTAGTGGTCCATCACTAGGCCAAGTAGCAAGAATACACACTCTTCATGCCTTACAAGATGCAATTAGTTTGTTACATGAAATTGTTCAAAAATATACATAGTGCCTTACAAGATTCGATCACGGTTTTGCAAGAATTCCAGAAGACAGCATATGTTAGGCTGCCAGTCTTCTATCTGTTTCTGTTACAGAAATAACTGGAAAGAGAAGCGTGTATGAGCCAGAGCTTAAAACTACTGTCCAGTTCTACTAGTCTGTGCCCAGAAAGCATATGTTGCCTTAAGCTATTTCTCATTTTGTGCCTCTTCTCACCCAGTATTCCAGAGCCATGTGCGCTTCTCTGTCCTAACTCTTTATTTTCAGAGTTTGGCTTTGTTTTGTTTTTTTCTAAATAATAAAAACAATAATGTTGAATTTCTGTAAATGTTTTGTGCCAAAAATGTACTCCTCTTCATGGATGTCAGTGAAAACGAATGGAAATTTAAAAGAAATTAGTAATGGAAATCAAGAGGGTACGTCGTTTAATAATGCAAAACAGAAGAGGCTCCAATGAGATGGGCATGACAGTAGCCCAGAAAAGGGCCAGCATGAGATTTCCATTAGTTCTAGATGAATAGTAGAAAAGATTACATCTCTAACGAGTTACAAGCTTTCGGTAAAAGCTGGAAAGAATCAGAAAGAATAAGTGCCAAGTTCTGAAGTGTTTACATCTCCCCTCTGTGTTGCAGCGCCTTTTGTAATAACTAATAAATGGAACACCATCATAAGAAATGATGATATAAGCATAGTTTCAGAATTATTTTTATATAAAATGGAGATTAGGAGATAATATGATTTTTTAAATTGACTTTGCTATTACAGTGATGTAGTGTATTTTCATGGGTGACAAGAATGCTCTTATATGTCCTTTTCTTATTTCTAATAAATTTCAAATCCGATTTCTAACACTGTAGATAAAGCTCTTTCTCTCCACTTTGTTTCCATTCATGAAGAACTGTGTGACTGTGTACATTAATCTTCCTGCATTTAGGCTTTATTTTCACCTCAAGAGGTGAGACCAGATTGATTTCCCTTTCAAGCAAGCCTCCTTCACATTATTTTAAACATTTCTGCAATCACAATGATGACACAAGTAGGCTATTTGCACCATTATAATTCCTTCTTCTCCGTAATTACTATATTCAATGGTAAGAAGAATGTGATTATGGGAATGCCTCAAGGCATATATTGAATAGAATGAAATTACTGGTGTGGAAAAGTAAGCTTTCTTCTCCAAAGTTCATGGTGTACTTCAAGATGTATTCAAACATTCACAGTCCTCTAAACATTAATGCATACCAGGTGTCTTTTTGGTCACATTATTTTATGCATGTTTAGCACATTTCCATTTACCACAGTTTTGTAACCACTGGGCCCAGTCCTGTTCAACATCTTTATTAATAACTTAGATGAAGAGTTAGAAGACATGATCATCAAGTTTGCAGATGGCACCAAATTGGGAGAGATAGCCAATACTCCAGAAGACAAGAGCAGAATTCAAGACAATCTTAGGAGATTAGAGCAATGGACCAAAACCAACAAAATGAAGTTCAACAGAGACAAATGCAAGATACTCCACTGAGACAGAAAAAAAATGAAATACAAAGCTATAGAATGGGGGACGATGCCTGGCTTGACAGCAGTACGTGAGAAAAAGATCCTGGAGTCCTCATGGACAACAAGTTAAACATGAGCCAACGATATGATGATGTGGTGGCTAAAAATGCCAATGGGATTTAGGCCTGCATAAATAGTATAGTTTCTAGATAAGTGATTCTCAATCTGTGGGTCCCCAGATGTTTTGGTGTTCAACTCCCAGAAATCCTAACAGTTGGTAAACTACCTGGGATTTCTGGGAGTTGTAGGCCAAAACACCTGGGGACCCACAGTTTGAGAACCACTGGCCTAGATGCAGGGAAGTCATGCTACCCCTCTAGTCTGCCTTGATCAGACCACACCTGGAATACTGCAATTGAAAGGAGATGTTGACGAACTGGAATGTGTCCAGAGAAGGGCGACTAAAATGATCAAGGGTCTGGAGAACAGGCCCTATGAGGAGTGACATGCTGGGCATGTTTAGCTTGCAGAAGAGAAGGTTGAGAGGAGACATGACAGCCATGTATAAATATGTGAGGGCAAGTTATAGGGAGGAGGCTTGTTTTCTGCTGCCCTGGAGACTAGGATGGGGAACAATAGCTTCAGGAAAGGAGATTCTACCTGAACATGAGGATGAACTTCCTAACTGTGAGAGCTGTTCAGCTGTGGAACTCTCTGCTCCGGAGTGTGGTGGAGGCTCCTTCATTAGAGGCTTTTAAACAGAGGCTGGATGGCCATCTGTCAGGGGTGCTTTGGATGTGATTTTGCTGCTTCTTGTCAGGGGGTTGGACTGGATGGCCCACGGGGTCTCTTCCAAATATGATTCTATGATTTACAGCACTGGCTCAACTTGTATTTCCAATCTTACCCATTATACATGTCCCCTTCACGTTTGATCTCATATCCTAATTTAAAAACCACCGTGGCTTAGCTTTCTTGCATCTTTCTTCCTCCACATGAGTATTGTGGTTCAGCTAATAAGGGTTCATCAGAACCTCTAGAGGGGCTCAACCTGGGGAAGACTACCTTGATTCATTATGAAGACACAAGGCTATATAATTTTGGTACTAGAGTGAGCAAAAAGGAGCAGAAATGAAGTAAAGTATCCAAAGGTGCAAGTGGGTTTAACCACCTGGAAACGTCTTACAATGTTATAGGGAAAGAAACATGGTAATTCTGAAGATATTTTGCAGCCAGCTCAAAAACGGTAGAAAAGTTTCAAGTGATTGTCAAAAGTTCATTGGAACTGAACATTACATTTGGATATGTTCTGGAGAATAATTCTTATGCAAGGTGAATAACAGATAACATAAGATTCATGCAGAATGGGGACATCACTCCAGATGACCCTTCACAATAAGTGTTTCACAAATTTCCAACTGTGGCTATCAGCATATGGAGGGAATGAGTCCTGGAAACATCAGGACCAGGTGCTTTCAATTATATGGAAAGTAATGCCAGATTACTACCACCAGGATAATGGTAACTCACTACAGGAAGGTGGCATTACATGCAGTTCCTGTGCAAGTGCATTATATAGTCTCAGGCATGGGCAAACTTTGGCCCTCCAGGTGTTTTGGACACCTGGAGTGCTGCTTACAGAAAAAAAAATCAATCTTGTTCTCTTGACTTATGAACTGAAGTTCCCACCCAAGTCCATCTACATCAGTGGTTCTTAACTTGTGAGCTACGAACTACCAGTGTGCCGTGAGGACAAAAATCTGGTCCGCGAGCCTACTTCCTCTTTATTTATTTAATTTCCGCTCCTTTCACGCCGCCTGCCACTCCTTCCCTGTCGCTGACCATGGCGTATGTTCTTTAGCAGAAACTAGAGCTGATGTGGTCTATCCAATGCAATTTTCTGAATCAGCACCTCAAACCAAATCTGAAGTTGACCAAAAATCAATTCGTAATCCTTTTGGTACTAATGTTGGAGAGGGGTCCCTGGTCAAGGTGGTCTCTGATCAAAAAAGGTTGGGAACCACTGCTCTACATTGCGAAACAAAACCCAATTACTTACTAATTAATAACTTTTGTTTCTCCCTTCTCCGTGTGCCCTGTAGTTTCCTCAAACCTCTCTCTGTTTCTTTCTCCTTGAGTGGGTGCTTTTAATTACCTCTTTATTGGAGGCAGCAGTGAAAGAACCGAAAAGGTATAGAGGGATCTCATAGTGGCTTTCGCAGAAGAAGCTGAGCAGCTGCCAGCACGATTCTTGTGTTATGACTCAACAGACAAAGGTGCTTTGAGAACTAGCCAAACAGCTTGCACCATTGCAGTTTTCCTTCCCACAGCAATCTGTTTTCTTAGTGGAGGGACTTTTCTGGGTCAGGCTGCAATTTCTTGGTTGGGATTGTTCCCCATTAACAAGCCCAGCCTGAATCAACAGCTCAGAGATAAAGGACACACGTAGCTGGGTGAACACAAGGCACATGCCAGGTGCTTCACAGGCACCACTTTTTAATACTGCATTCATGAGACAGAAAGGGCTTCAGAACACCAGAAATGCATTAAAAACACAATAAGCTTGTTCAGCAAGATTACCACTTAAAAGCCTCCTTTTTCTTTGCCAATTTCCTCAAGATGAGTGGGAGCAAATTATCCAGGGATATCTTACGGAGAGTTGCTTTTTCTCTTTTCCTCTTGCGCAGGAGACTCTATTGTTACAAAGGTAATCTCAAAAAAATTCCAGCCCTCATGAAGACCAATATATACAGTAAAAGCCCCAATTACTTTTGCAAAGGGAGGAAGGAGAATAAATATCACTCACAATGATAGTACTGCTAAGTAACTATGCCCTCCCCACTGAACTTTTAACTCTCTGCAGCACAAACATTTGTTCAATTCATAGCCTTCAACCTAAAGTAGTGGTTCCCAACCATTGGGCCTCCAGGTGTTTTGGACTTCAACTCCCAGAAATTCCAGCCAGCTTACCAGCTGTTAGGAAGTGTGGGAGCCAATGTCCAAAACACCTGGAGGCCCAAAGGTTGGGAACCACTGACCTAAAGAAACTTGGAGGTACTCAGGGAATGTTTAAGGGACTCTGAAACAGTAGGAAGTGTCCCTTAAACAGTAGGAAGTGTCCCTTAAATAGGTTTACTATGAAGTCTGCAAATATACTTTTTTAGTTGATGACTGTCCCAGAAGGCAACACACTTTAGTTGACAATTGTCCCAGAAGGCAACATACTTCCATTTACACTTCCATCCTATAGGATCCTGGGGTTTGTAGCTTGTTGCAGCACCAGAGTATTACTGGCAAGGAACAGTAAGTATCTCGCAAAACTACAAATCCCAAAATTCCATAGCATGAAGCCATGACAATCAATGCAGTGCTAAAATGCTATAATTTTGCAACACTGATACAACATAAATGCTGAGCACTGCCATTTCTTCTTCCTCACTATGTAGTGAGGAATGGAGAGAAGTCCCAAACCTATCACTCTCTCTATGCAATAAGGGAAGAAATTATATGAATTCAAAATATTATTTGCTCTGCAAAGGCGATCTCTATCACCAAGACTGGGTCTAGTCTGTATACATGTTCTCTGTTTGGAATTCAGGCAGCTCAGTTTTAGAGTAGGATCCTATCTGGCCATGAATTATTATCTAGTGAATCCTGTATTAATGGGGTGGTGAGAGAATTAAGAAGTATACAGAAAACAATTGGAGAGAAATATGATACCTCGGCACCTTGGGTGTCAAGCCAAATTCACTCTTTGAGCAGAGAGAACAGAAGTGCATAGTCATTCTCAACCTGCACGTCCCCAGGTGTTTTGGCCTACAACTCCCAGAAATCTCAGCCAGTTTACAAGCTGTAAACAGTGGTTCTCAACCTGGGGTCCCCAGATATTTTTGACCTTCAACTCCCAGAAACCCTTACAGCTGGTAAACTGGCTGGGATTTCTGGGAGTTGTAGGCCAAAACACCTGGGGACCCCAGGTTGAGACTTTTGGGAGTTGAAGGCCAAAACATCTGGTACCCACAGGTTGAGACCCACTGGATAGAGATTGGATTTTATATTACTCTACCTGCTTTGGGCAATATTGGGGAACCTTCACACCAATTAATAATTTTAACTATTTTGTGAGGTTTAACATCATGCCTCTCCCTCCTTCCTCCAATAGGCAAAACGAGTAAGACCATTGTGTTGAAATTCTTGCTGGGTATATCTACATATGCAACATTGGTTTGTTCATAGTAGTTATTATTAAGTGAAATGGGATAGGGAAAAGCAAATTCAATTTTTCACAGTTTGTCATCTTTCTCTGTAACAGACAGATATATGGTAAGCCAATGGAGTGGCGAACAAAGAGCAAAGCAAGAGTTACACATCCCTGCAAATTCACAGGCAATGGACTACTTCAATGAATCCCCCCTCTATTGACAACCTCCTCCATTTTTAAAGCAACAGATAAAGCCACTACAAGGGGTAAAGGTGTGTGTATAGAAGGTGGTAGAAATAGCTGGGGCTTTCCCTGCTACAGGTAAACATTGCATACTTAACAACTTGTGGTGCAGTCAAGCAGTGGGTTTGTAGCCGAAGAAGAAAACAACCCAGGGAGTTTGAAAAACTTTAGTTTCAGGAGGAACTAAAGCCAGCCAGCGAGACCTGGCACCCACAAGTTGGCATGTGCCAGGGGGGGAAAAAGGCCAACATTTAAGAGTAATGCAGCAGAATGATGGGTGTTTCAGCATACCGTCAAGATAGTTAGAGCAAGGCAATTAATGACCCAGTGGATATTCAGCTCACATATAAATATGACTGAAGAATGCAGACTGACATTTGACCAAACCATAAAGATTAAAACTGACAAACCCATCCTACCAGCATTATTCATAAAAGGATGGGAATAGATTGGCATCAACAACTTCAGCTAGCCAGCCCCACTGGATGAGTAATGATATAATTTGTTTATGAAAGCCATGTGCTCCTGTTTAAGGCACCAAAACCAGAACTCGTTGACCCTTGCTTCAAGCTCTGCACTCTTCCAAATAAACCTACCACTCACTCTCTCTTTTTGGCAGGGACAGCTTCCTGATGCAGGATGTACAAGATCTCAGTGGGACACAAAAGCACTGAGTTTTATCTCCTGTTGGACCCAGGATGCCCTCTTGCCTGTCTTTAACTCTTATGCCTAACACCATTTTACACTATCTGCACTTATGTGTGGCTTTGAAAGGGAGTTTGCTCTTCCTGGGAAGCGGCTGCCTTTGGAGGAACGCGGTGCTGCCTGGGGGGAGTTGGTGGAGGGAAAGTGGGGCCCTGTAAAGCATCAGCATACATTTCAGTCCGGCCAGATGGGCTCGGTGTCAGTTTGTGCAACAGGGGCTTCAGTAGGCCGACTGTTAGCTGGGATGACCCCTCTGGAGGAAAAGGATCACATTCTGCTGGGCTTAAGTGCTGCTGGATAACACTCAGGATGTCAGAAGCACTCAGATCTGCAGGGCAGAGCTCCCACAACATGTCTGAGTAAGGGTCCAGGGCCCTGTGCTGGGAAAACTCCCCCAGGAGGATAATAAAAATCTCTTTGTTTAGCAAAGGGCTCAGCCTGGAGAACTTTTCCGCAGCCTCCATCACCCTCTGCCACCTCTGGTGCCGGATGAGTTGCCCAATGGCCTGCAGGATGGCTTTGGGCCTCTGGCTAGACAGCAAGAGCTCAATTTCCATGTCCCTGTCAGCTACTGAGCACTTGTGCCTCCGTGGCAGCACAGCCAAGGCTCTCTTGTAGAGAGGCACAACGCCCTCAGGGCCCTCTTTGCTGCTGTAAGTCCAAGTGGCCCCCAAACACTCTTGGGACAGCTCCACAAACCGAGGCAGCCATTTAGGCTTGAACTGGTGGAGTGCAAGGCAGACAAGTTCAAAAAGGGGGAGCACTCCATTGAGGGTCCCCTCCTGTTGCTTACTGAGGCTGGGAAGAGGTCCCCAAAGAATCTTCTTCCATATATCCGGAGTAGCTCTGGCTACCAGAAGGCCATCTCCATTCTGCTGTAGTTGGAGATGATTCTGGATGGCTTTCCAGGATGCCTTTGGGAAAGAACTGAAGATGGCATTCAGGTACTCCAGGTTTTCCTTATTGGAGTCCAAGTGCAGAAGGCGGCTGAGCTCCTGCTCCACCAGGGCCTCCCCGTAGCTCTCCACCTCACTTTGGGAGGCTCCAACCACACGGGCCTTGAGCAGTTCCAGGTTCTGATAGCTTTGCAGTTCCAATTGCATTGTGCTCAGCAGCTTGGCATAAGGCTCCGTGAGGACCTTGGGCTTCTTGTCCTTGGGAGTAAGACTATGACACAAGATGGCGGAAAGTGCAATAGGAGCCTGAAACATGTCACCCTTCTTGAGCTTCTCCACAGTGAGCTGGGAGTTGCTGAGACTGCGTCGCTGATAGTATTTGCAGGCCTCTTCAAACACCATTTCAACCAGGTTGGGTTCAGGCTGGCTCTCCTTGGCAGCATCAGACAAGTCAAGGCTGTAAATGCCATTTGAAGCAAGGAGCTGCACCTCCTCCTCCTCTCCTGCACTAAAGTCCAAGAAAAGCACTTCTTCCGTGTTCAGGGTTTTCTTCTCTATCAGCTGCCTACTGTCCAAGTCCACAAGGTGAAGTGCTCCTCCCAACAAACAGGCCAGGGTGCTTCCAGATGCTTTCAGCTGGACCTGCTGCCCTGGGGTCACAGCACTTTCCCCAAAGTCAAAGACAGGTCTCCACGTCCCATTGGGTTGCACCAGCTCCATCGTGCCTGCCTTGGTAACCAGGAGGAGCTCCCCGCAGCTGGAGAGGGCACAGCCATGGATGGTCAGGACGTCCATGGAGGCCAAGAGGCCCACACAGCCCAACACCAGTTTCTTGAAGTCCACCTCACTGCCAGGATGAGAGGCTTTTGTGCAAATGCACCCTCTGGATGGAGTGGCAACAGAAATGGCAGCATTCTCCGGCTGCCAGATGATGATGAATTTGGCTATGTTTGGGAAAGTGTCTGGAGTGGGCACCAAGAAGACGCCGGAAGGCGAGGCCAGCACTTGGTAAAGAGGGCTATTGTGCAAGATGACCCTCAGCGGGCTCAGCTGGGCTCCCTGCTCCCCAATCTGGAGGCTCCGGGTGCAAATGCAGTATTGGAAGGCTCTCCTTTCTGGGGTCAACTGGGCACCCAAGGCAGGCCTCTCCTCACACCACACCAGCTGACCCCTCCAGCTGCAGATGGAGATGATGCGGGCCCGGCCTCCATGGCACAGCTCCAGGCTCTGAAGCATGTGCCACCCGGCGGAGGGCCCAAAGCGCCACAGCTCGGCCTTGCCCCGCTCCCAGACAACACCCAGCACCCAAGGGATGGCGGTGGAGGGGCTTTCCAGGAAAAACAGCCCCACCACAGGTGGCTGGGGCGGATGCCAGCTCCTCTCCAGGTCACCCCCTCCTTCGGCACCCAAGCGCTGGAAGGCCACGACCCGAGATTGGCACAGAAGGAGCAGGTGCCGTCCATCGGGGCTGCCAAGGATGCGGTTGGGAAACTGGTCCAGCAAAAGCTCCCTCAAGGCACGGCCGCGGATGAAGTCATCCCAGTCCAAGCTCTGCCGCAGCAGGAGTGTCCCAGCTTGGTTCATCTTGGTGGCCACATGGGGAAAGAAGAATGGGACGAGATCGAGAGAGAGACACGGGTAGGACAAGCCAAGACTGTGCCAGTGTCTTCTAGGTGGAGAAGAGCCTCCCTCTGCCCTGGTCTACCTGTCCACTCTAAGCCTTCCCCACCATTGCCATGCTCTACCTAGAAAGAAGCTCCCCTCTGCCCTGGTCTACCAATCTATCCTTAAGGCTATACTACACTTGGAAAGAAACTTTGCTCGGCCCTTTTACTTTCTCTCTAGGACTTCCCAACCATTACTATGCTGTCATTGGAAAGAAGCTTCCCTACCAATCCATTCCTAGGCCTTCCTGACCTTTGCTATGCTGAAGGTTCCCTCTGCCCTGCTCTACCTGTCCATTCTCAAGTCTTCCCCACCTTTGCTATGCAGTTACAACTGTAAGGAAGCTTCCCTCTGTCCTGGTCTACCACTCCATTCTTAAGGCTTCCCTAGTCTGCACTTGGAAAGAAGCCCTGGTCTACCACTTCAATCTAAGCCTTTGCCCCGATCTACTACTTCGAGCTAAGCCTTTGCCCTGGTCTACCACTTCAATCTAATCCTTTGCCCCGGTCTACCACTTGGAGCTATGCCTTTTGCCTCGGTCTACCACTTTAGTCTAAGCCTTTGCCCCAGTCTACCACTTGGAGCTAAGCCTTTGCCCCGGTCTACCACTTGGAGCTATGCCTTTTGCCCCGGTCTACCACTTCAGTCTAAGCCTTTGCCCCGGTCTACCACTTCGAGCTATGCCTTTGCCCCGGTCTACCACTTCAATCCAAGCCTTTGCCCCGGTCTACCACTTCGAGCTAAGCCTTCTCCACCATTGCAGCGCTACACACGGCGCAGCTGGGCGTCCTCTTCGCCTCCCAAGGCTCCTTCTGCCTCGTCCCGCCTTCCTCGCAGTTCCCCCAAGCCGTCCTTCGTGCCTCCGCTGTCAAACGGCCCCGCTTCCTCCCAGCCGTCTCTCGTTCCCGCTTTCCTGTCGCCTCCTGCGGCCCAAAGAAGGAGAGAAGAGGCGGCGGCTCTTGCTGGAGGCCGAACGCGGCGCTTGTTGGTTGGAGCCGGGCGCAGAAGGCAGGCAGGCAGGCAGGCGGGAGGGCAGTAGCGCCCTTCTCTCGGCTCCTTCCTGCTTCGGCCCCAGAAGCAGCGGCAGCAGCGCTTCCCTCCTCCTCCTCCTCCTCCGCTTCGCTGCAATCACGAGGTCTTCGGTTTCCGGGCGGAGCCGCTCCCCTCCCCGCCCCACTTCGGCGCCAAACCCGAACGGCCTCGGGCTGCTTTTCACTTCCGCCCGGTGCTCTCTCTTTCGGCCCTGCCTGGGTGCCCTCCCCACCTCCCGGCCTCACAAGGCTCAGGCTGGGTCCACCGTGGGTCTACACGACTCTACTGGAGTTTACATGGCAGTGTAGAGCCAGTTTGAAAGGACCCAGCAGCCATATAATCCAGTTTCTAAATCCAGAGTGTCTGCTTTGAACTGGGTTATGTGAGTCTATCCTCCATATAAGAATCTGGATTCAGAAACTGGTTTATATGGCAGTGTAGATGGGTCCTCCTCCCAGGCTGGGTCTACACTTCTATATAATCCCCATCTTCTGAAATCAGATTATCTGCTTTGAATTGGGTTATATTGTAGTGAAGACTCATTTAATCCAGTTCAAAGGAAGTAATCTGGATTATCTGTTTTGATAAATGTAACATGATTGTGTTCCTGAATTGTAAATATCATTTCCTAATTGTTATATGGAACTCTCAGTGGCGCAGTAGGTTAAAGCGCTGAGCTGCTGAGCTTGTTGATCGAAAGGTCGCAGTTCGAATCCGGGGAGCGGCGTGAGCTTCTATTGTCAGCCCCAGCTTCTGCCAACCTAGCAGTTCTAAAACATGCTAATGTGAGTAGATCAATAGGTACCACTTCTGCGGGAAGGTAACGGCGCTCCATGCAGCCATATGACCTTGGAGGTGTCTACAGACAACGCCGGCTCTTTGGCTTAGAAATGGAGATGAGCACCCAGAGTCAAACACGACTGGACTTCATGTCAGAGGAAAACCTTTACCTTACTAATTGTTATATTTACAGGGCACAGCCCCTGGTGGCACTCTTTTTCTGGCAGGACTGAAGACAGACAGGTCGGAGGTTTGAATCTGAGGAGAGTGTGGATGAGCTCCCTCTGTTAGCTCCAGCTTCCCATGTGGGGACATGAGAGAAGCCTTCCACAAGGATGGTAAAATGCCAAAACATCCTGGCGTCCCCTGGGCAAATCTTGCAGATGGCCAGTTCTCTCACAACAGAAGCGACTTGCAGTTTCTCAAGTCACTCCTGACACGATAAAAACAAAAACAGCAACAACCACAACGTGGGTACAACAACTGGCCAAGGGTGCATCTTGATTCTACACTGTGGAATTCATGCAGTTTGATATTGCACAACAACAACAACGTGGATACAACAATTGGCCAAGGGTGCATCTTGATTCTTTACTGTAGAATTAATGCAGTTTGACATTGCACAAAGGAGCCCCCGGTGGTGCACTGGGTTAAAGCACTGAGCTGCTCAGCTTGTTGATCGAAAGGTCGCAGGTTCCATTCTGGGGAGCGGCGTGAGCTTCCGCTGTCAGCCCTAGCTTCTGCCAACCTAGCAGTTCGAAAACATGCAAATGTGAGTAGATTAATAGGTACCACACTGGTGGAAGGTAACAGCGCTCCATGCAGTCATGCCGGCCACATGACCTTGGAGGTGTCTACGGACAACGCTGGCTCTTCGGCTTAGAAATGGAGATGAGCACCACACCCCAGAGTCAGACATGACTGGACTTAATGTCAGGGGACTACCTTTTACCTGACATTGCACAACAACAACAGCGTGGATACAACAACTGGCCAAGGATGCATCTTCATTCTATACCATAGAATTAATGCAGTTTGACACTGCACAGCAACAACATGGGTACAACAACTGGCCAAGGGTGCATCTTGATTTTATACTGTAGAATTAATGCAGTTTGACATTACACAATAAAACAATAACAATAACAACGTGGATACAAAAACTGGCCACACTGTAGAATTAATGTAGTTTGACATCGCACAACAACAACAACAACGTGGATACAAAAACTGGCCAAGGGTGCATCTTAATTCTACACTGTAGAATTAATGCAGTTTGACATCTCACAACAACAACAACAACAACGTGGGTACACCAACTGGCCAAGGGTGCATTTTGATTCTACGCTGTAGAATTAATGCAGTTTGGCATTACTTTAACTGCCATGGTTTCATGCTTTGGAATCCTGAGAGTTACAGTTTGGGGAGGCACTAACACTCTTTGTTAGGGAAGATTGAAGACCTTATCAAACTACAACTCCCACGATCCCATAGCTGTTAAATGTAGTGTCAAACTGTAATAATCCTACAGTGTAGATGCAGACTCCAAGTGAGTCTTGTTGTTTCAGTGAGACAACACTACACCTAGAAAAGCAAATATTGCTGCAAAGTTTCCTGTTTCTGGATTTGTTTTAGATAACAAGTGGAGGCAAGGAATAAACAAACAAACCAATAAACTGGCCAGGAATATGAGCAGGGACCTGGATGGCAGCCATTCTAAAGGAGGAATTCCTGTAAATGGGCTGACTGCAAGCAAGGAACCCTACCTAATAATGGGAGGAGACAGACGAAGTGCACAATTCTTGGCCAAAAACCAGGCCGATTGTGATGAAGAACTTTTTTCTGTATTGGAAGAGTTTCTGCATTCTTCTGCAAGGACAGCTTCTGAGATATAGTCTATAGATCATACAGATACTCAGGGTGTGTCTATAGTGTGGAACAGGCCCGGGCAAACTTTGGCCCTCCAGATGTTTTGGACTTCAACTCCCACCATTCCTAACCGCCTGTTAGGAACGGTGGGAGTTGAAGTCCAAAACACCTGGAGGGCCAAAGTTTGCCCATGCCTGGCTTAGAGGCATTCTTGCTCCTTAAGTTTTTAGTGTATCTTCACCTGCCTGAGTCACTATTTTGCATCTGGATAGGACTTGAAGATCTCAAGATTTGCAGTTTAAAAGTGTTCTGGAAGCTTAAAGTCTGTTAGGAATAGTGGGAGTTGAAGAACAAATCACCTGGAAGGCCCAAGTTTGCCCATGCCTAGTGTAGAATGGATGCTGTTTGGCACCACTTTACCTGTCCCAAAATATCAAGGCTGAAAATCCCACATTATCCAAGTGTGGATAACTTTGGTCCCTTCCACACAGCTGAATAAAATCCCACATTATCTGCTTTGAACTGAAATATAAGGCAGTGTGGCCTCAGATAACCCAGTTTAAAGCAGTTCAAAAACTATTTTGTGGTTGCTCCCCGGCTATGGAACTCTCTCCCGAATGAAATTAGATCTGCCTCCTCCCTCCTTAGGAAGCAAGTGAAGTCTTGTTTGTGGAACAAGGCATCTGCAGAGTGATGGCTGAGACCGAAAATGGACTAAGGTATTGACCACAATGTGCGGACTGAGTTGGATGTTGTTTTTTATCCTGGCGAATGTTTTATTATGCTTTTTACCTGATATGTATTTTAACTTATTGTTTATATATGATGTTTAAAAGGTTTGTTTGTGAGCACTGAATATTTGCTGTTAGCCGGTCTGAGTCCTTCTATGGAGGTAGAGAAGACCAGGATACAAAAGTATTAAACAAATAAATAAAATTGTGGGATTCTCCGCCTTGATATTCTGGGTTATAGGGCTGTGTGAAAAGGCTCCCGGTTCAAAGCAGATATTGTGGGATTTTCTGCCTTGATATTCTGGAATATAGGGCTGTGTGGAAGGGCCCTCAGTACCAGAAAATCCTGGGATTTTGAGGTTTGCAAGGTCTTTAGTTTTCTCTGCCAAAAGGTATTGGTGTCTCCCCAAATACAACTGCTATCATTCCATAGTACTGAGCCACGGCAGTTAAAAGTAGTGACAAATTGCATTTATTCTAGAGCAGGGGTCCTCAAACTAAGGCCCGA